TCATTTCTGGAAATGCACCTGGCAACCTCACCGGAACTGTACGGAATGGAACAGTAATGAGTCATTACCCAAAACATATTTTTTTGTGGGATTGTATGGTATCTCGAAGTGACGCAACGTCAGCAACAAAATGATTTGACCGACCGAGACCCATCCGCGAGGCAGATTGCTTGATGGTGACATCACTGGAATGATCGGCATTCTAAGGGGTAACTGTCCCAAAAGGAATTTTGATTTACCCTATGGTAAATAAACATAGACCCTGAAAATCACCAATGTTTAATGGAACCTAGTCTTCCAACCCCTATCTGCCAGGGTCTATGTTAATTTACCAGAGGGTAGGTTGGTGCATGACTATGTATGATGTATGATTATCATTCATCCCGGATTGGAATCATTTCTGATGGTCTATCAATTTTTTGATGGTCGATCACTTGAACAAATTAAAAAACAAACGCGATCCTGGCAACTTAGTCACTAATCCCATCTGCCAATGACCACCTCCTGAATGGTAAATCCTCCACTAAACATCACTAAAACATAGTTGCCATGGGGTGTTTAAAAACATCTTCTACAGGCAAGGACGCCTCGCGATTGGGCGCGTTCGCCACCCGTGGCGGCGACAATTCGCCCTGTTGGCAGCGGGGGAGAGCTCAGGGTATGGGGATGCGTCAGCAGCGAAACATTGCCATATTTGGGGAGATGAACATCCATAACTGGTTGGCGGTTTGGACATGTTTGGAACATGTGTTATTTTCCATTTCATATATGGGATAATCCTTCCGAATCCTTCCCAACTGACGAACTCATATTTTCAGAGGGGTAGGTATACCACCAACCAGATAAAGTAGACGTATTTTGGTGTGAACAGAAAGGACAGAGAGGACCCATAGCCATAGGATTCACCTAGGAAAATCATGTTGCAGACCCGATGTTTGAGGTCCTTATGAGAAATTTCGGGATGTTTTGATGGGGTTTTGATAGGTTTGGACCCAGAAAAATGTTGATTTCAACACAAAAATCAGCAACTGTTTCGATTTGATTGGTGGTCTTATGATTTTGGGTGTCTCCATGTGTACCAGGGCAATAGCAACTATCCCTCACCAGCTTTGCTCACCTATCCACCAGTTCACGCCATAAGTAGCAACCCCTGAAACGAATTTAAAAGATAGAAACTGGTTGGTGGTTTGGAACATTTGGATCATTTTTCCAGATATTGGGAATGTCATCATCCCAACTGACGAAGTCATATTTTTCAGAGGGGTATGTCAACCACCAACCAGGAAACGTTGGACACCTGGAAAACGTTTCTATCTTTTGGGAGACCCCTCTGGGTTGATGTTTGGGGGGCGATGGTTGAACAGCCATATTTGGATATATTTGGTGTGTTGAGTTTTGAACCATAGCCAATTGTTGTATTATATTGTGTTATGGTATAATTATATTGTGTTGTATTATATTATATAATAATTATATTAGATTAGATTACATTACATTGTATTATATTACATTAGATTGTATTGATTTGTTTTCTATTATCTTGTACCATATTAGATTAGATTACATTAAATTATATTACAGTATATTATATTATATTATATTATATGGTTTTATACTATAGTATATACTATTTTATAATTTTATGTTATTCATTCGGAGTCAAGATGCAACCGGCAACTGCATCCGGATGATGAAAGACATGATTCACTTCCCTGTGCAATGCCGGCTGACCTGGGCGGTGATGTTTGGCGCATGAGGACCGCATCCGTGGCGCAGGAAGCTGCAGTGATTTTAACATGGCTTGTGTTATGTTTGTTCAAACACATGGCTTGGAGTTTGATTTTGATCAAGAAAAAAACAATCCATCAGCTATATATAAACATCTGGATTTTAGATTTGAATCTGATGTCAACTTACCCCTGTGGTAATTTGGCTTTCACATACCTACCGTATGGCATCCTATGCGACCAGCCTATGACCTTAGCTCTAAAATAATGCCCTCTCATAGCATCGAAGTTTCCAGCTGCGTGGATGACGACTGTACAGATAGGTCACAGCGCCAATTCGACAGCAAGCAGTGCATGGGTTGCGTCTGGGCTGTGGAACTGTGTGAACACAGTTTGCCCTAATTCGCCCGAGCTCTAACTCCGCGTGGTGCTAAAAAAAGATGGGAATGGGTCACGACGGTCACGCCACAAATATATACAAATATGTTATACTTATGGGGCCACCAGTGGGAGGAATATCCGTTGGTTAGCTCAATTTTGTGAAGACAAGGGTGCAGGGTTCTGTATGGTTCAGTAGCATAAGCAGATGTACAGAGGCTGTTATTTAAGATTTTCATCTTCAATCCTATCTCGGATGATGATCCCAACCGACCAATATGTTCCGTTGAAACCACCAACCAGTCTTGTATGGTAGATAGGCCAGATAGGCCGCCATGGCAAGCCTTCCAACTGGAGCAAGTAGTTGCCATGGCTGCTGCAGGTGCCTGGGTGCTTTTTTTGTTTTTTGCGTTTTTCTGTTTTTGTTTGATGATGGGGTGGGGTGGGGTGGAGTGGGATGTTAAGGTTCTTGTTCACGTTACGCTGATGATGTTACGTTGATCATGGGGTGGGGTGGGGTGGGATGTCAACGTTCATGTTCATGTTACGCTGATGATGTTACGTTGATCATGGGGTGGGGTGGGGTGGGTTGGGATATAAACGTTCACGTTCATGTTTCGCTGATTTTAACGTTCATGCTCATGCTCTGGTGACTTAGTGACCCACTCCTCGAAACTGGAGCAAAGTGTCTGGCAATGGATATCAAATTTTCCCTGGCTGAAATCCCTAAAAAGGTTTGAAGACTTTAACTCGAGGCTCCAGCCTAGGGATTTCAGCCAGGCATACCAGACGGGTATCGCCGGTTTGTTTCAAGGGGGGTTGCGTGCACTTCCCAATGTAAGTGCGCATGCAGCCTGCACGCCTGTTTCTCCACTTCTCAAAAACTACTTCAACCATCTTCAACCATGGAACAGTTTGCTCATGGCAGTGAGTTTCTCTGAATTTTTGCCGCGCAACTTTGTTCTGCGCCACGTTTGACCCATGGATTTTATCCAGAGCACGGCTTCAAACAATGAGAAGATGTTGGATGCTAGACCAAGGGATTTTATTTCTGTGATATATCTATGCTTGTTTGTCAGACCTTGGGTTTTATCTTTGGCATCCTTGGCCTAGTTAATAAAATGCCAAATCTCAGCTCATGGGATTTCATCTTGGTGACCTTGGGAATTCCAAAACCTCAAACCTTGGATTTTATTTCCGGCAATGGTTTGGAATGTTTGGTGATTCATATCTGGATCATATATATAATGTAGAATAATCATGTTTTGTAGGTGTTTGCCACTCCGAACTCGCACTGCACATCCTGTGTTTTTTTACTCAAATCAAAGCCTAAACATCTAAAACCAAACATATCTAAACAACACATGAGGGTCACCCAAGCTCAACGTCGATCACCCAAGAATCTCGGGCTAGAATCCAAGTGGCTTGAGGTTTTGGGGACTAGCGAAATAAGATCTATGATAATGAAATTCTCCGGTATGGCCTTAGCCAGTAGGAGGGGGCCAAAGATATGAATTGCACGCTAAAAAAATCTATTGTTGTGGAAAGTGTTCAGAATGTTCAGAATTGGTTGGTGAAATCAAAGCCTCAAATCAAAGCCTAAACATCTAAAACCAAACATATCTAAACAACACATGAGGGTCACCCAAGCTCAACGTCGATCACCCAAGAATCTCGGGCTAGAATCCAAGTGGCTTGAGGTTTTGGGGACTAGCGAAATAAGATCTATGATATTGAAATTCTCCGGTATGGCCTTAGCCAGTAGGAGCGGGCCAAAGATATGAATTACTAGGCCGAACAACGGGAGCAATTTGGGAAAGACGGAAAAGGGGGCACGCGTCGCTCGGCACGAGCTGGCATCATCCAGCAATCGGGAACATCAGGCGTTGTCATCAGGCATTGGCTTGGATCTTGGGCCCTTGGTTTTTATCTTGAAGACACTTTTGGCATGTGCTTCTCGGGCCCAGGGATTCTATCTCTAACATATTCTTTCTGATCACTCGTTGGGTTATCTCAAGCCTTTGGATTTTATCTCCAAAACCCTTTGCTGTTTTTTTTTAATATTGCATTGTTTTTACCGTGGGGTCAAGCCAGGGATTCTATCCAGGGCCCTTTGGTCTCAGACCAGCTGGATTCTATCCCAAATCTTGGCTTAAATCCTTGGCTCCAGGCTAAGGTGCATAAGCAACCCCTATACCGGCGCCTCTCAGCGCCGTTCCCAATTAGTTACATCATCTTACTGCCGTACTTTAATCCGGTTGGAATTGTTGCTAGAGTACTGAATATCAAACCAAGCATAAATGGAATTTCACATCGAATCTTCATCCTTACCTATAGAATTATCATACAGATGATCATCCCGAACCTGGGGCCTATCCCCCTAAAATGGCTGGTTCACTGGAGGAAAAAAATCATGCTTCACCAGTGGATGGAATGCGGTGTGCCCCAAATTTTCAGGCCAACCTGCTTCGGCAGCGTCGAACTACAGTTTTTTGTTCGTAGGCTCAAAAGTAGGTAAAAGTGGGAATAGTGATGCTATGTGATGCAAAAAACATTGGAGCATTGCTTACCTGGTTCACTGGTTCGAGTTGGACCCTGTCTCCTTTGCCGCTGCCTGAAAAAAACTTCAGGTCCAAGCCTTAAGTGTCTTGAATCCGGTGGAAAAAATCGTGATTTGACTCTGATTATTCATAGAGAAAATGGGAACCCCCCAAGTTAAGATAGAGGTTGGTAAAGTTCGGCGCTAAGATAGAGACTTATCTTAAGAATTGTGAATTGTACATACCGACATGAAAATTGTGACGCCTCAACGTTGGAGAAGCCGATAAGCCCAGCAATAAGCAACCAGCAACCCGCATCCCCACAATGGCCCTAGCTTTCTGGCACCAACTCGCCATGTGGTCTCGATGGCCCCGTTGGCTTTGGTGTCTGCTGTGGCTGACGAGCCTGACGGCTGCGAAAGGCAAAGGCGAAGCACAGCAACTGAGACGTGGAAATGTGTGTCCTGCGGAGTGTGGATTGCACCTTGAGAAACCCATTTCTTGGATGTTCATGCAAGAGTAGTGATTGACTAAGGGACAAAGCAACGGGGTAACACGCATGGATACAACTGAGTGATATGTGGGACCCCGGTGTACATTGGGTTATTGTCGCTTCCAAACTTGGATAATCCTCCAATGTCCCCACGCAACACTTGAGGATATCGGCGTGGGTCAAAAGTGGATGAACGAAATGGGGTGACTTCACATGGTTTCGCTAATTTCAAGTCTTGCGGAAGTTGTTGAACACAACTCACAAGTCGTTAGGTTGGGAGGTGATTTCTTTATTGTACTTTCAATGCGCAAAACAAGTCTTGTAGTAGTCACCATGATCTAGCAACCTTTACACAGTTATCATAGTTATCTACCGACACGAGGTCGAATGCAAACGTTGCCAATGGAAGCAAGTGTGTATAATAATGATAATACATAATACACATATCATATATATATAAATAGTTGTATAAATATCAAACTATATATATAAGTTAATATATATATATAAGTTAATTAAGTTAATATGTATATATATATATATTGCCAAACTTGTTTTCATATTTTTGATATGCTATATGTAACATTTTTTAGTATATATATATATATGTATATGCTTGATAATGGTTAATAATATACTATATATATATAGTCATATAATATTTTTAATTTCATTTAATAAACATAATTTGGCATAACAACATAAAATGACATGATATATAATATAAGATGACATTATAAGATATAATAAGATAATATATAATATGTCATATATTTTCATATAGTATAATAAAATATAACATAGTATAATTTAATGTATGTTTTAATATAATATATGTTTGATATAAATATACTATATTGTAATATTTAATGCAATATTGTATTTCATAATTATCTCATATTTTATTTATAACACTTATATAACAATAATAACAAAACAATAAACATATTCACATATATATATAATGATACATTATATATATATATTTCTAGTTATATATGTACATAATACAACGTATATTTATATATATGTTACTATTTAATGTACTATAACTAATATTATTTAATCATCATGTAAGGTACTTGCTGAACTCATCCATTTATCCTCGTCCAAAACTCCCGGTTTTTTTCTGTTCGTTCTGCCCGCAACATTTTTGCCGTTTTGGGGTAGACCGGCCCCAAGTTTGGACAAACCCCAACCTTGAATGGGTTGATATAATGGGTTTAATGGGCATATAAGGGGAATATAATGGGAATTTAATGGGATAGGAAATCAACAGTTCATTACAGTATTTCTTACGGAATATGTATCATTGATTTGACAGAAGTTGTCATGGTTTCACAGACCCCTTGCTAAACGTTTGTGTTCAACCTCTGCTGAGTGGATAGCCTCTCTGTGGTGAAGTCTTGATCGACCTATACAATTATATCTATATTGAATATTACAGTATAGGTATCATAATGTACCTTTAGTAATTATAGTATTGTTTTGCATCATTTTATTCCCATAAAATTGGTTCGTTAATACCCCAAAGAAATGGTTGGTCAAACTCTGTTGAACCAACAAACCAGCCATAGACCACAAACCAGCTGAGGGATTGGATTGGAAATAGTTATAGTTTATGAATAATATAAACATATTGATACACACAACATTTATCATAGCTTTAAGGGGTAGATCATGAAGATATAGTGATTATCAACTCAAGGCAAATTTTCCAATAAATTGTGATTATCAACCCCGAATATGACAATGGTATTGATAACCCATCAGGTATATATAGTATAACAATATCAATATTATTGATTACCATACGTCCCTATTTGTAATGTTCAATAGCAAACTTCCCTTTTTAATAAATGGATATTATCCATAGCAAACTTCTATTATTTAAGATGTATTATTTTTCAATAGAAAATCTCTCAATAAAACACAACCGTATTGATAATCCATTGGGTGTAAATAATATCATAATATCATGCGTTGCCGAGGCACGCAACCTCCGCGACCGGCGTGGCCGCAGCGACGATATTTGACACGAAGATGTTGGATTGGTGGGATATGGCGCGCCATTTGATGGCGAACTATATTACATTGTTTAGCCATTACATATTCATATTGATATTGATATAGTTAATTATAATAGTATAATAGTATATAACCATTACATTACTACACATGTACGATTAGTTAGTCAATTATTATATAATATTGCCATATGAACACTGAAGGGTTGTATAATTCCTTGGATTAAATATATTTATAGTTCAACGGGTTTCAATACAGTAGTATGATCTATAGTCATATTGATCATATTGCTTGATAAGATTAAAACTACTAATCACAGAATTGGATGATGGGAAAATTGAAACCAGAAACCCCTATATTTTACGTGAAATCTTTGGTTTCCCATTGGACTAATAATGATATATGTGATTTTCCTAAATCATGCTGGACCCAAAGTTATACTCCAAGTCACTGCCAATTGGCAATTTGTTCATAGGGAAACCATTCGTGTCAGGGTCCCCAAGTCTAGGAAACAAGTCTGTACTATACAAAATGCATTGTATGTACTATATGTCAGTGAGATGTATATATCGATATATTATTATACTATGTTATTATACTATATTATGATATTACACACATATGTTATATATATATATATATCATACATTATATATAGTACAATACTATAGAATATATATAATATTTGATATATGATATACTATGTGTTATATATGATATTCTTTATTACTATATTTATACTATTTGTATATATGAATAACATGTTATAGTTTATATTATATGACCCGGCCAGAGTCACCTCCTTGTGTCAGAGCGCCTTGCAAGGACTACTACTTGGACTGACCGGACCACGGCCCAACCAAGGCAGAGTTTTGGTCGTACGAGATCTGGGATTTGATGGGGTTTAATATGCATATATTATGTATATATATATATATCTATATGTATATATATATATATACATACATATGTCATATATATATATATGTATATACATTATATACACAACTTATTTAGTAGCACTGACTTGGAAGTTGCAAAACGTTTGAACCTGTTTTTTTTTTCAGCACCGAAGATGAGCAACCGAAGTCACCCAGGCGAGACCACCAAGGTTGGTCCCAATGTTTCCAGGCTAACCCTACCATACCCCCAGTACCCCATCAATTTACATAGGTGGTTGGATCATACTGGATCCATATACTGTCTATATTTTACTCATATACCCGGTTCATATATATATATATAATATACATCTCTCCCAAGCATATTTTAACATGCGCTTATGTCCCATGTCATATCCCATCAATTTAAGCATACTTAAACAAGTATAATGTGGGCTACCGATAATAAACCTACCCTTTGGGATGGTGTGTGGCCTCATTTATGGTGATTTAGGGGATGGTTCATTTATTGGGTTTACGCCATTAATGAAACCCCATTTGAACAGGGGATGATCAATAAACCCTTATGAGTGTTCATTGGGTTTTAGTAAGCCCTGAAGATGCCAATGGGGTTGGTTGAATTCCCCATATGAATTCTCTTATTGGCTACCCTCTGGCAATGACTAACATAGCTATTGAAAATGGCCATAGAAATAGTGAGTTTTCCCATTGAAAATGCTGATTTTCCCATCAGTTTTTTGTAAACGTTTACCAGAGCGTAATTCAACCATTATACTACTGTATTCCATGGCTTAATCCATGAATATACATTATGGGATGAACAATGGAAGAAAAATGATTATCCATACATAATACTGGTTGGTGGTTTGGAACATTTTTTATGTTTCCATATATTGGGAATAGTAATCCCAACTGACTAATATTTTTCAGAGGGGTTGAAACCACCAACCAGAATAGCTACTGATGGCTTAAGAATAATGGGATGAAACAAATAATGTGCAATGTGGGGCCCCCAAGATAGCTAAGTTTGTTTATAATTCCAATAACTGTGGTTTATGATACTTATAGCTATAGTATTCATGGGGTTTACAAACCAATTTAGTTATTTGGGGGCCCCACATTGTAACATTATTGTAATAATCAGTTATATCGTTCTCCGTAAATAGATGATCATTAATATAGTTACTTATGGCTTAACCATAATGGGATGAAACAAATCATCAATGATCAAATATGGCCAGAAATATGGTAATTACAGTACCTCCATTTTAGGATCCTTTTTTATTCCCATTGAAATTAAATCGCAACAAGTTGGTTTATAACTCCAATAACTGTGGTTTATGATACTTACAACTCCAATAATGTAACATGATGGTTAAACAAACGGCCTCCAAGTGCCCTTGGGATTCCAGGGATGTGGATCCAGCGTGGTTGGACGCAGCCTGGCACGGTACGTCGTGGAGCGATTGCACCGCGTGTAGCTATGGCCGCTTGGAAACAGCTTGGATTTACTGGGGGTTGAATGGGATTTAACGGAGATTTAATGGGATTTAACGGAGATTTAATGGGATTTTATGGAGATTTACTGGAGATGTAGTGTTTTTTTTTAAATATATATATAATGGAGATTTAATGAGATTGTTCATGGATACTGTATTTAATAATAGTTTATGTTTTTTCTTCATGGAACATTGACAGATGATGACCCAAATTGACAACAATTCAATGGATTGTTTTTCTTGTCGGGAAAATCTTCACCGGAATTCACTGTAAATCACCATGATTTTCCCACGAAAAAAACAGGTATCCCACGTGTGAATGAAATGGATTTTTGAGGATGATTTCATGGGACAGCCATGACATTAACAGAAGCTAATTCGACTAACATTTGGGCACCACCGAAAGTAGGAAGTGGAGTCAGTGAAGTCTGAGTCTAAGAAAATATCTAAGTTGTCAATACACGAACGTTGTACGCAAAAAAGACAATGTATACATGCTATATCATGTTATATTATGTTATATTCATGTATGTTATGTTTCATATTATATCACAGGAATTGAATACTATGTATGCAATTTAGATGAATATAGATCTAGTATCGTGTTGAGATGAGATTATACAATGTCATGAAATACTATGTAAACAAGAACATGTTTTGATATGTTTTGATGTTCATGCATCCATGACATCTTTATCTATATGGATGTTTCCTAAGTCATGGGGGTACCCCCGGTTCTCATCCATGTTATGTTCGGATCCATGAAATAGCCTCTGCTTATTTAACATAGCCATGGAAAATCACCATTTTTAATAGGTAAACCATCTATTTCTATGGGCTGGATCTCGGATCTCATGGGATGAGTTACCCTCCTTTCCTGGACCCGGCCAGGTGGAACATCTAAGCCATATGCAACCCATGGGGCTGGTATATTTACCTACAAAACTGGGTGATTTTTGTTGGGCAAATGTTGGTAAATATGGAGCATATGGGTAATTAACATAGGTGATTCAATTCAACCAGGGCTTACAATTAGTTGAGGGAATGTTGTAAGTTTAATTCAGATTTTCCCAGTTTCTTGTTCTTCCACTGTTCTGGCATATCCTGCCCCTGCCAAGGGCATGTGCAAATCCGGGAAGTTCAGTGTCTCAGCATTTTCGAGATGGCGGTCTTGTCAGAGGACTTTCGAGATGTCTCCCACTGCAAGGGGTCCTGCAAGGGGTCACCCAAATTGAACAACCAAGGGTGATGAAAATGATGATTTAAGAGGTATACCATGGTATACCACACCAGCCCCTCTATGTTTTCCAAGGCTGATCCAACACAAGATGCTTTGGGGGGATGCGGGCATACAAAATCACCATATTAGTGGCCGTATTAGTTGCTTTTTGAAGCTGTTTGGATTGAGAGGCATTTACCAACAGAAAGATCATGTGCAAAACGTGATTTTTGTCGAAAGTGATCAAATGCATCCAACTCTCCTGATTCACAGGCAGGAATTGATGTTGAATTTCTGTCACATGGGCGCTCTTCAAAATTCGAATTGGGGTCGGTTGATCATATGGGCTTCTACCCAATATATTGAAAGTGAAAAGGGACGACAGAGGGTGTTGAACACTGCTCAGATGGGTTTGTTCATTGATGTTCCATATTGAATTCACCGAATTTGGGTGAAGAATTTTAATTACACCATTTTCAGTCACACCATTTTCCTATAACATTGATTGGTTTGTATATCCCATATAATTATCACCAGTATTATCCAATTTTTCATCCCATTATATAAGTCCTCTAAAAGCCTATTTTTACCATTCATCCAGAAAAAACACAACAGATCTGCGGTGGTTTTTGGTCCACTTCCACCGTTCAGCTCTGCAGCGCATCCCCCTCGAGGATCATTGTATGAACACGGGGAAGCCACCCGAGACGCAGGTTTGCAGCTGTGAAGCTTGACGCAGGATTTCGTTGATTGTTTAGGGCTGAAAAGACGATGAATAGTCAAAATAGGTCATGATCTTGATATGATGGTTCTATCCACCTATCTATCTATCTATCTTTCTTTCTATCTTTCTATCTTTCTAATCTAAACTAAACTAATGTAATCTAGTCTAATCTAATCGTTCTTTCTCGATGGTCTGCAAGGCGCTGCGGTCATGTCAATGGGGTTTCAACTCCAACCATTTTTAGGGGCATTGAAGGCCTTCGAATGTTTTTTTGTTCCCCTTTTTTTCATGCGAATCAATTAGATATAATATTATATCTAACAAACACTATGATATGGCGTTGGGATTAGTAAAAAATCATACCGCTGGTTCTGAGTCTGGATAGTGACCCGATTCATGGATTCATGGATCGATGGGGAAAAACATGATGACATCACCCACTGGAATCGTCACGGGTAACAGCATTTTGCCTGGCTCAATTCACCATGGTCAGTAGAATGGGTGGGTCTCTCTGGGCAGATCTTTGACCCCACTCCATTTATTTATGTATTTGCATATTTACTATATATCTATATTATGTGTATATATATATATTATGTATAGACTGTATAAAAAATCAATTTATACCATTCATCAAGGCTTATTCAGAGGAATGGGGACAAGGTATGCAACCCTGTGCTGGTCATTCTCTAGACTATTCTAAGCCATCCAATTTAACCCATCAGAAACCATGTACAGCCCTTTTTTTGCAAGGCTACAAGAATAGACCATCCCAGTACAAGCTGTGGCATTTGCGGGTCATCTTACATCATCTTACATCATCACTAAACAGTGTATTACTGGTACCCTCTGGTAAACGTTTACATAACTATGCAAAATCACCATGCTATGAAAATTGGTAAATCAACTATTTCGACTGGGCCATTTTCAATAGCTATGTTTGTGTATTACTGGTATATACCTCGATTTTTTGGGGATGAAAGGCAAGAAAATCCACAAGTGTGTAGCAAAATGACAGCCAACCAGTCATGATACCCTTTGGCGATTGAACATAGCTATGGAACATCAACATTTTCAATGGGTAAATCAATTCAAAAGATCTATAAATAATCTATTATATAAATCTTCTTTAAATCATCTATAAATAATATCTTAAATTACCAGGGAATATCACCAGGTCAAAACCTATTATTACATATTATTGCCATATGTGGGGAATAAACATCCAGAAACCAGCTATGACCAAAGCTGGTTGAAGCCAGTTCCTAAGGATGAGATCAGTTGCATTGGGGACAGCACCTTGTGCCCTGCCAAAAAGGCGCCTGGCGGCGCCGTTTCGGTTGAGATCAATTCAGAAATGGCTAGTCTTCAGCAAAAAATAGGGTTAGTAATGGTGATTCATATGGATTTATAGTTGTTTGTTGTTTTTGAAATAGGGATTTTTAGGGTTTCTAAAGGGATTTACAGTGATGCATCGGGAGTATGAATTGTTCTGAAGATTTATCAACTAATATATATATATATGTGATTTTACCACCATAAATTTAGGGATTTACATGGATTTACCCCATTTTCATTTCTATCCCCAATGGACAGAAAAACGACCCTGAACATGTTCATCTTCCAACGCCGGACTGATGGCAGGGTCGTCATGTTAACTGGAGGGTATATCTTTGGCACCTGAAAAGAAAAAAAACATTGGATTTCTAGAAAGGATCGATTGAAGTCCCAGGTCTTGGGTCGAACATGGACCAAAGAACTGTGGGTTTTAACTTATTTTTTATGGATTTAACTATCACAAATGGTGATGGAATGTTTCAGGGAGAAGTGGGATGAACCATGAGAACCGCCAACGAAACATTTGGGTCATTATCTATCTTATTTATGTTACTTATGATTCCTATTGTTGTTTTTTTCTACTTCCCCATGGTTTATCATTACCCACATGTACATCTGTTCCCATTACATGATGAGTATCCCATGGTCAATTCCCACTCGTTCTCCCCACACATGACATTCCCATTTGGCCCATGACATTCCCATGATAGTCCCGTGAGTTAAAATCCAAATAAAATCCCACTAGATCCCAGTAGGTCCTGCGAGATTCCCACTAAATCCGAAGAAAACCCCAATTCCAACACCATAGATCCCCATGGGAAATTACTGAAAACTGTTCAGTCTCCCTATTTTCTGTTCACCTTTTTCCACAAACGGTCCTGGAGGCAGATTGGTTTGAGCCCGAGCCACTCTGCCAGCAGTTGCTTCTTTCGGGCCTTTTCCGGTGGTGAAAAATTGGCATTGTTAGGGTGATTCTATGGTGATTTCATGGGATTAAACATTATTTAATGGAATTTTACGATAATTTCATGTGGGGATGTTATGGTATGTGATAAGGATTTTTCATGATTTTTTCATGGGAATTTAAGTTGATTTTAGTATAGTATTTATTGATTGTCGAATGGGACATGAGATTTTGGCAATCCAACATGGGCCAGCCGGAAGTCCTCGAAGTACATGGAGGCAAGCCATTATGAAAGGTAATGCCCCCTCATCATTTTTCGAAACTCCGCTTATCCTTCCGGTAATCAAAGAATCCCCCATTTATAGATGATGTTTCGAAATAAACACCTCCATTTATAGGCTCAGAAAAGGGTGATTGTCATTGCGTCATTGCATGTCATTGCCATGTTTGATGATCGGAGGCTCGTTACCGGGTAGTCGTTTCCGCATGTTGAAACCTGCGGTTTCGATTCCAGATCCGCCGCCTGCAGTGGTCCACAACCCCAGCATGTTCACCTGGCCCGTGGTCGATTTTTCGAGATGGCTGAGATTTACTGTTCATCCCCCTAGTCATATGGAATCATATGGTTTTTCCTGAGTTTTGATCAATCCCCATAGTCCATCATAGTCCTATATCCCATTATACCCCCATTGTATCTTAGTATATCCCCATGATAAGTGGCAGATTTGTTGGCTCAACCACAGTGGAATGGAACGTCGCGTTTCTGGATGAGGTCACCCTACACGGAGCTAGGATGCTTCAATCTCTTGAAATCTCACTACAAGGCCGCAAAGCACGGTCACAGCAAAGGAGCCAAATGGGCTTTGGGATGGTTACCTGTAAAGTTCTTAAAATAGTAAGCCATCCCCAAATTTGCCATCATTTGCCATTTTTATATTTTTTTATGGGTTGGACAATCGATATAAGTTGGGTCATGGCTTTTTTACGACCTCAGTGAGTTCTCCCTCACTGATTCATGCTAACAAATTGGGTGGAATCATCCAGAAGCCGGTAGGGTTTCAGGTGAACGTGAAGTTCTATGTACCTTCTGGTTATGTCAAAATAGCTATTGAACATGGCCCAGTCGAAATGGTTGATTTACCCATTAATTAATAGCATGGTGATTTTCCATAGCAAACTGTAAACGTTTACCAGAGGGTAATTGACCCAAAGCTTCGGGGATGGTGACCATGTCTGACATGGTCTGACCACTTTCGCCACAGGTCTGACCACCAAAGATGGGGATTTTTCGCAACGACAATGGATGGAACAGGGCAGGGAATTAATTCATCCAACATTGTGAACAAAAGCATCAAGCAAACAACTATAAACCATGAAACTGGTGTTGGGAGAGGAGTCGTGAGTGGTTGGAGTCGAGAACTGGAAAAAAAGGACAACTGGAAAACATCATCATATTAATTCAGAAACACATATCAGTATTGAACACTAATCAGCATCAGAAAACAAACAGTTGATGTTTTGGTTTGTTTTTGTTGGCCATGGTCCTTTGGGCCTGAACCTGGGTTGATTTACCCCTCAAAAATGGTGATGTACCATAGCTATTTTGGTTTACCAGAGGGTATTTGATAGCCCCAAAGTTTGCCTTTCACAACGAGTTGGTGTGGGAAATATGAAGAATGCTCAAGGAAGTCTAGATTCTGGTACAGATTGGTTGGTTTCAGGTGTGGATTTTCCAGTGCATGGGATAAGCCCAGGTTGACGACTGTTCTTTATTGGCGCATATTGGCACACCCAGCAAGTGGGGAAGAACAAATAGATGAACTAGCCTAGTTATAGAATATCCCCAGCTATGAGTTATAAACCACTTACAAGTCCTTGCATATCCAGTTGTATATTCCAATTTATGCATCTATATCTCCAGGTTGACGAAAAAAACATATATCATATATCAATCAGATGTAACTTTACAAGGCCACTCTCAAAACTTGGATTTTGTACCCATGTTGGGGAAAGGTCATCGATCCATTCCCAGATATTTTTATATCCATTGCGTTTTGAATCCCAGTCAAGATGCAGGGATGACCACAATTTGAACATGGATGTACCATGTAAACATTGCCATAAAAATTGGTTAATTGACTTATTTATCCATATTTACTCTTATGGTCTTATGGTACTAATGTGGGTAAAACAATAATAAACCATCCCCCATATCACCCTGAAGTTCATGCTATAAACAAGTCCCAAACGGGTGGTTTATTGTTGTTTTACCGACATTAATGTTATTACCTAATAGTTACCGTTACAGTTTACATCCCATGGAACTCGACCTCCTCGCGCTGCATCCTGCTCCTCTTCCAGGAGCTGATTTTCGCGACCTGAGCTGCCAGAAGCACAAAGGACCGGTCAACGCGGCGCAACGCGGCGGACCCGAAGGGGGACGTAAATTCGATTTCATGGGAATTCACAGGATTTCAGGGGGATAGACTGTTAACTTGCATGAGCAGCTGGGGAACAGTTTGAATAAGCGTTCTAGGGTTTCTGGTAGATGTGGAATCATATAGCAAAATGCAGAACGCTTGTGAGTAAATAACTACTAAATTCACCAGCCAAAACTGATAACTAGAACCACCAAAATAAGCCATCATGGCTCAATGAAACTACCCTGTTTGCCCGCTGAGATTATGTGAATTATGTGGTTTTACTCTTCGGTTGCACAAGCAGCCCTTTTTCACACTTCACGGCATGACCGATGTCATCCACCACTTCCATTTGGCGGTGGCCAATCACTAAGGCACGGATTTGAGCTGTAAGCCAAGCTCCTTTTGTATGCTGGATACACAGCCACAGATGTGAAAGTTTTTTTTGTTTTTTTCTATGTTGGAGTTGTCGGACAGCGTAGTACTATTGTCTTGTGCAGCTGGATCTCGTAAATCGTATTGGAGTGGCTGCATCAAGGGAGTAATTATCCACATGTTTTTGAAAAAATGTGGAGAAATAGCCAAGACTCTAAGGAACAATGCCAAAATTGAGACATAAGTAACCTTCCAGAAAAAAAACATAATTATCAAAGTCAGAAAAAGTTTTGGAGCATTCACCAAAACTATCCAGGAGTTTTGGAGAATTCTCCAAAACTCTGGGAAAGTTTTGGAGAATTCTCCAAAACTCTGAGGAACAATGCCAAAGTTGAGAAAGAACAAGTTTTGGAGAAATCTCCAAAACTATCCAGCAGTTTTGGAGAATTCTCCAAAACTTGTTCTTTCTCAACTTTGGCATTGTTCCTCAGAGTTTTGGAGAATTCTCCAAAACTTTCCCAGAGTTTTGGGGAATTCTCCAAAATTACTGCATAGTTTTGGGGATTTCTCCAAAACTTGTTTCTCTCTCGGCCTTGGCATTGTTCCTAAGAGTTTTGGAGAATTCTCCAAAACTTTTTGTTTTCTTCTCTTTTCAGTTTATTTTTCTAAATTTCAAAAACCGTTCAAACGTTTTGGAGAATTCTCCAAAACTTTGGGAAAATCTTCAATATTCGAAAAAAAAATCAAACAAAATGGAGAAAAAAAAGTTTTGGAGAAAATCTCCAGAACTATCAAGAAGTTTTGGAGAATTCTCCAAAACTTTTTAAAAAATCTTCAATATTCGAAAAAAAACAAACAAAAACAACAAAATGGAGAAAAAAAAGTTTTGGAGAAAATCTCCAAAACTATCAAGAAATTTTGGAGAATTCTCCAAAATTTCTTGATAGTTTTGGAGAATTCTCCAAAACTTTTGGAAAAATCTTCAATATTCGAAAAAAAATCAAACAAAATGGAGAAAAGCAAGTTTTGGAGAAAATCTCCAAAACTCACCAAAACTACACAAAAAAATAAGCGTTCGGAAGGTTTTTTTTAGGAGATAGTTTAAGAGATTTCTCCAAAACTTGTTCTTTCTCAAGTTTGGCATTATTCCTCAGAGTTTTGGAGAATTCTCCAAAACTTTCCCAGAGTTTTGGAGAATTTTCCAAAACTTCTTGATAGTTTTGGAGATTTCTCCGAAACTTGTTCTTTCTCAACTTTGGCATGGTTTCTCAAAGTTTTGGAGACTTCTCCAAAACTTTCCAAGAGTTTTGGAGAATTTTCCATAACTTCTGAGTACTTGTGGAGATTTCTCCCTTTTTTTTCTCTCTCGAATTGTTTTGGAGAATTCTCCGCAACTCCTGGATAGTTTTGGAGATTTTTCCAAAAACTTATCCTTTGTCAAATTTGGCATTGTATTGTATCTCATCCTGCTCCAAAACTTCTGCAAAAGTTTTCAAACCATCGAAGCGACCGGACCACTGTTTGTTTCTTTACTCACCCTTGAGGTTTGGAGAGTTCTCCAAAATCTCCCAAAACTGCTTCACTTTTAAGTCCATGAAACTTTGGCTTTGAAGTGTTTGAAGTTTGAACGATTTTTTGTCATTTTAATGTTTGGAATCGGCCCGGCATTGGAATTGATTTCGAATGTCTAGTACCACTAAGAAATAGAATGATAAAAAGAAAGAAGAAGAAGTCAGAAGAAGAAACCACAAAAGGCTGAGGTCCGATCCCAGGCCAGTCGTCCGGTTGTGGTACCCCAAAGGCATCACACACACACACCAATGAAATGGTATGTAAATGAGTTCACCTGTGCATGTGGGAAAATAAAACAAACCTGTATGCTTAGAACGCATGTTGCCAGGAGAGGTACCACTCGTGCAAGTTAACAGGATAGACAATTATCCAACTTGAGAACTTGAGCCACCAGAATTGTCAACTAGATGAGAACCATGGGGGACACACATGAAAAAAAAAATCCTTTGGAATTGAAGGGTGCCTTCTATTTTCAAACAAAGGTAGAAGTTGTCAACGACTCTTTGGGCCGACCTTAAGCCCAGCTAAGGATTGGGTACCCCACACTCCAAGTCATTATCATTTCCCCATATTTCCCCTAAATGGCCTATTCCATGGTGCCTGTCTCCTATTAACATCTATAAAAATTTATTAAAAAAACAATTATCAATATCAACATACTTAGTTATAATATATATATATATATATATATATATGAGCAACCGTAAAAAAACCGGCAATACTAAATATGTATTCGACGGACATTGGTTTATGGAAATTGATGGAAATTGTTAAAAACACGAGGCAAGCGATGGGACCTTCCCAAATTAGCGATACCCCTTTTCAAGGTTATGTCATCATATTTCTCTAATATCCACATTAGCGATACCCAAATATCACATATTATTCATAGTTCATCACATCTATATATATATATATGCAGCAGTTTCCTGCAAGCGATACCCCCCAAGTTTACCATATATCATTATTGTACAAACGTGTGGTAAGCGATGGGACCTTCCCAAATTTGTGGATGTCCTTTCTGTGAACCTAGGGTTTTCACAATCGCTCATATATATATATATATATGTATATATATATATATTATGTATATCATTATTACTCCCATATATATATATATATATCCCATTGAATTCTCCCTTCAACTGTCCATGTCTTCAGAGGGGGGGGCCGCAGGCACTGGACCGTGCAAGAGTGGCTTGCCGTTCTACTCAGTGACTTCCAACGTAGCTGGGCCAGAGATTTGGAGGTATACACTCTGGTTATTTAACATAGCCATGGAAAATCCCCATTTTTATGAACGGTAAACCATCTATTTCGATTAGGGCCATGGCTAAATCCCATGGCTATGTTACACACATATTCTGGTTCAGGTGAACAACTGATGAAGTCATATTTTTCAGAGGGGTAGGTATACCACCAACCACTATTCAGATAATAATGAATAATCACCATTAATATAAATGGATATCCATTATTATTATCCATTATTTATAATCAATAATGGATAAACCACTAATTAATCAGACAGTTTTTTTGGAAGGCGACCTAGGTATCTAGGACTAGCCACCGACTAATAGTTGCTGATGTTGGGAAGTGGCGATCTTCAAGTGATTTCACTGAGTTGGATGGCATTGATGTTTCCCGTGTGGGTAAATTCTCCACAATCAATCCACCATCCTTTTGCATTCTATGTATCAGCTTTAGGGGAATTTCCCTTAGATCTATAATTAGATCTGTACATGTAGCAATTGTAGGATAGTATTTGTTTACACGTTTTTTTTTTTTTATCTTGAGACCAGACAATGTTGTTCTAGTTGATTGCTTGTTTGACCTTTTTAATATATTTTGAAGAGTTGTTAGATGTTACAGTCGAAACTTGCTGCTATAATACAAAATTCCATTGAAATAAAACATCACATTCCATTGTATGTATAATAGAACATAATAGAACCATTTGAGTACTATGTTGTCTTGCAATCATGTCAATATCGTAAACATCAGACCATTATCCGAGTAATATTGTTTCCATTCTGATAATACATGAGAGTAAATAAACATTACTATGGAATAAACATTATTATCATGTATTATCACAATATATACATAGTATTACATAGTATCATAATGTATCATAGTATTCCAGTGTGTCTTGATGATACATGATATGTAATGTTTATTCCATGATAGTAATAAACATTCCAAATATGTAATACTATCTATGTAATACTATGATAGTAGATAGTAATTTTGCCAAGTTGATCTCTTTTTTCACTTCGAAACCGAGGCCATGTCCCCATCTCTGTGCTTCTCCTTTTGCACCAGTAAGGTTTTTCGGCTGAATCGAGGAATCGTAGTGGAGGGTAGCCCCATGACTTAGGAAACCTCATGAAACCTCCAATATGGGGGAAATCATGGGAAATCATCATTCAATTGATCAGTCATCATCTGTGTCCGGAAATTTGTCGGAAAAAATGAGAACATATGGCTATGGATCAATACCTATACATACCATTTTTATTTTAGGGGGATGAACATCCATTTACCAGCTATTTTGATGTTCACCAGGGGGATAGGGTTTTGACCCATCCCCATATGACGAAGATCATTTATAATTGAATGATTTGAAGTGGGATCACATTTCGTCGCGATGTTGGATTACTAGAAGGCTACTAGCGGCGGGTGGATGTTTCATTTCGCTGCCTTCGGATATTGTTTCCCCAGCTTCAATTGATTATGATCAACTGAGGTAGGACAATCATGAACGTAACATATCGTAACATAATATGGATAGTATATTGGGTACCCTCTGGTAAACTAACATAGCTATGGAAAATCACCATTTTTCATGGGAAAATCCACTATAAATCGTCATTTTCAATAGCTATGTTAAATTACCAGAGGGTATATTGTTGGTTGTTAGTTGATAGCAACAACTTAAGTGGGTAGCATTCCATCATATTCCATCCCGAAATCATCAACCGAAACATGAACCGAGGCCAAAGGAGCAGTGCTCCTTTGGCCTCAGTTGGTTGATGTTATTTTTTGGGGCTCTTGTCTTATACATGTCAAGCTAATGATTAATGATTAAAGCCCGGATTAATTTGGGGGTACTCCTCCAATAGTCATAATCTGATACTTAAATGGTATCCCCCCAATTAAACAGCCGTAAACGGGGCTTGTTAATCCAGGGTTGACATTACAGTGTATTTTTTGGGGCTTTTGAAACGAGGAAAGAAACAAGAAGAAAACGAAAAGCGGATTCCGATCCTGATGGATTCATGGGAGAACACCTTCTCAACACTTTGCGTGTTGGAAATCTACAGTAGTTTCCAAGTGTCCCCGATGTTTAATGGTACAATCCCCTAGACCCCGTTGATGTCTCGAGCTGTTTGGGTTGTATAGGATTACAATATGACCTTTTCTACTGTTTGTACCGGGGAAAAACGTTTTACTCGTTATTTACAGCATTGCTTGGTGAATTACATCATTTTTTTGGCCCAAACCTGACACAAGGACCTGCCATGAGAAAATCCAGTCCCAGGACGAGCCCGGGAAATATACTGCCGGCAGGCTCAAAAGATCTAAAGTCTGGAACGGAGAAAGACATTGAAAAACCTTGAACAATGAAATCAAATCCCTTCCCCCCGCATAGTAAAGACCCAAAAAAAACATGGTTTAAAAGGGGATTTGATTACACATATCTCAGACCACTTCTAGGGTCTTGAAAAATCTGGACATGGGATTCAAACAGCGAGAAATCATGGAAATCTATACTTTTTAAAGTGCTTACTATGAATTTTGTAATGAAGATGTAATAAACCACTGTAATCCACCGTGATATTCACATGGTAAAACTATCACATTTCTATAAACGCAATGCTCCATGGATGGATTTTGTGACCATTTTGTCCGGTCGCTTCAGGGTCTTGATATCTTCGGCTTGGTGAAGGGTGCGGAGTGCCGCTGTGGCTTTTCGGCGATCAACAGGACTGGATGGCGCGGTGAAAATGTCCAAGAAAAAAACATATGGATTGATGGTTTCAATCCCCATAAAAATGATGATTTTGGGGATGGTTTACTCTTGTTTTACCACCATTAGTTGATATCAACTTTATCCGACACGTCTATTGGGATCCAGCGATTCCCCCTCAAAACATAGCAGAAGCCTGGAGAGATCTACCCGGCCTGGTAAACATATATAGCTATTGAACATGGCCCATTGAAATAGTGAGTTTTCCCATGAAAAATGGGTTAATTTTCCATAGTTATGTTAGCCCGTTTACCAGAGGGTATTGTATCACCATGTCCAGATGTCAACTAGAGTAATTAGCTATAGTCAGCTATAGTCAGCTATAGTAGTTCTATAGTAGTTCTATAGTAGATCTCTGATATCATATTAAAACATATTAAAAGCAAGAATTCCCTTGGAACATCAGCCAATTGGTCATGGCTAGGAATTTCCATGGCTAGGCCTGGGATTTCCCAGCGATGAAAAAAATACCTGCTTGGTGGTTTCAAACATGTTTTATTTGACGAATGGGATGTCATCCTTCCCATTGACTTTCTTGATATGATGACATCCTGTTTGATATAAACTTTCTTGATATTGTTTTATGTTTTTCTTATGGTATCAATATATCATGTGTGGTTTCCCATTGACGAACTCCATCATTTTTCCAGATTGTTAGTCAACCACCAACCAGATGATAATATATATATATACTGTAATATTATGCAATTATTCCCAGTAAAAAAAACCCATGACCCAATCGATAGCTCCTGAGCACCTGAACTTCCACGTCCACGTCTTCCCCGCCAGGAACGCTCGACTGAGGGGGCCTCTTGAGCCTGCCCTCCAATTCTTGGCCTCTTGGCCGTAACCGGTTCAGCAACCCCAATTGGAGATTAATCCGAAAGGGTTGGGATTTCCCATGGGTATTATCAACATTTTTGGGGATTTATTGGGATTTGATGGATATCAATGGGTTTTTAAATTGTTGATAAATTGTTCATAATGGTTATTGATGGAACTTTACTTCACCCGCAATCATCTTTTTGTTCACTGGAAATATATGGATTTAGGATCCCCAAATTCACTGTTTGACCGTGAGAACTTGCCATTCTCAGAGGAAAGATGTCTTCCATGGAAGTTGGCCATGTAAGTTCTGGGGATGGTGCAGCTATGTTGCGCTTAGCTTGTTCAGCTATGGGGGAGTGCACGGACATGTTCCACTGGTTGGTGTGCACTGGGGTATCTAAGGTTTGCCAGGAAAGATAGGAAAGACATGTCCCTCTATGGTCGGCGGATTGTTAATTGGATACAAAAAGTCGTTCATGTGTATCCAGTGGATCTAAAATGACTTTGACTCGTTAATTATCATTTCTCTTGGTCCTTAAAAACTAAGTGTTGTACTCTTCACACCTATTTGATCCTACTTGGGAGTGTTAACTGTGAAGCCTTCATTCCCATCTTTGATGGGGTTGAACCCCAGCAACAAAGACTTCTGGAGCTATTTGTTGGCTTCAGCGCTCGACCTTGGTCATCGGTGAATAGTTGCAGCCCTGGAGGGTTTCTCGTTCGAGAATGTTCGAGAGGGCTGTCACATGTCTTGGAATCCCCACCACTGCGCGGGTGAGACGGGCCCGCGCTGCTGGCGTGAGCCAATCCAACAAGAGCTGCCAAGCATTCATTCCCTTTGGGCCGCGACTGAATGTTACTGTGGCACTGCGACGTGTCAATGCTGCCATGAACTTCAGATATGGATGAACATTGAATCAGCATGATTAATTAGTTGGTTGTGAAAACAAAACAGAGACCCCACATGGTATGATATGTATCCAATCATGGTACACTTTCCATGCATATATATTCTAATCAAATCCGTGTGGTATGATCAATACTCCAACATACATGATCATGTTAATCTGCGGATCAACATGTATTGGTAGTTATCTTAATATACATGTGCATGTTGTGGCCTTTGAATTCTTGGGCAAACGATGGTGTCGGCGCGTAACGTTAGCAACGTCCAAAAAGATAGAAATTGGTGAAATTGGTGAAATCTATCTGAGTGATAAATTGAACCTTGTCAATATGTAAAACCATGTAAGCTGATCGGTAACGCCGATCTTTTAGGGAAATAGACATCCCCATGAAACCCTATTAAACCCCATTAAATATATCTAAAATAAAATCCCATAAGATCCCAGTGAATCCCATAGAATCACAAAAAACCTGAAAAATATTGAAAAATAACCATTAAATCTCATTGAACACCATTAAACCCAATTAAATCTTATAAAAATACCATTCAACCCATTAGATCCCATAAAGCTACCATTAAATTCCATGAAATTCCATCAATAACCCACTAAATCCGATATATCCCGGTAAAATCCCATTCAACCCCTATCAACTCCCATGGATATATCCCATTAAATTCCCAGAAATTCCCATGAAATCAGAATGAAATCCCATAAACTCCCCACAATTCCTGGGGCCTGGATGCTCTCCACCAAGGCCACGCGCTTGACACCTCATCGCTCAGTGAAAGGCGCGGCTCCACACTGCGCAAGACGTTGGGGGCAGAGGGAAACGATGGGAGAGATGATTCCATGGGATCTTTTACGATTTAATAGAACTCATCAATTACTGTACACTTACTGTGGTGGGATTTTGAAGGGCGATTTCATATGATTTACTATACCCTCGATTTGACAGTTTGCTCCAGAATTTCCACCATTTAGTTTGATGGTGAGGTTCAATTACCAGAGGATATATATGGTATATTACTACAAAATTGAGATAATCGAGGATCAAAATGGTGATTTCATAACATTGGACATAACTAACTAACATCATGATGTGACAGTATAACTAACCAACCGACTATCAAACATGTATCTGGTTTTTCCGGGAATTAATGGACCTGGAATATATCCTGAAATATTGGCTAATCAACAAACTAAACTGGGCCCATGAACCCCCAGGGCTGATGCCCATCATGTGCCATGGCTACCGTAGCTTTGCTAAATCAACAGATAACATTTGTCAACTATTTGATCCCATTCAATCAAATCCCATCAAATCCTGCTAAATCAACATAAAAATTGTTTAGTTTCATAGGCGCAGCACCCTGGAAGTGTTCCGTCCCTTGAACTGTCAAGGTGTATGTCCTCTGCGCGTTTTTCGCTACTCCGGCTATTTCGAAGCGGGTGGACTTCCCAGTTCGTGCCTTGGCTGAGGCACCTTGGGCAGTACTGGATTTCCCAATGAAATATAGGGATCCAAGCAATGGGAATAAATATGGTAAACACAATGTCATAAAAATTCATAAACCTTTCCCAAAATCACAATGGGTGATATAAACCAGGGTAGGTTTATTGCTGGGTTGCCCACAACCATCAAAGATTGCAGGATTTAACCATGAAACGTTGCAGGATTTCTGAAACATTGGATATGAAACATCAAAATTAAGAAATGAAGAATGGATATAGCTGAATATATGGGAGGCCAATAGCATGTTATGGGATTTCATGGGTTTCATGGGATATAACATGGGATATTTCGCCCTTTACTTTCTCCAGAGCGAGTTTGGGTGGAGTCCAACCCCCCCAAGATGCCTGGAGAATAGCCCCAGCGGGATTTTCCAGCCACGGCTCGGATGTTTAACATGTGTCATCTTTGATATATGGAAAATCATCACTGATTGGTTGACCTAGCCCTCTGGTTTAGTGATGGTCGCTACATAATGGTGGTTAATGATGGTTATGATAGTTAATGATGGTTATTAATGGGTAAATCAACTATTTCTACGGTAATCTTCAATGGCAAACTGTTAAAGTTTACCCATGACGGATCCGGCTGGTGCTGGTAGAAAAATGCTAACATTTATTGGGGGTATATTGATGGGATCCATGTTACCATATATAGCAGCACCATGGATCCTATGGGTATCTGGGTTAAGTATGCATTTAAGAAAAATCACATCCAGGTTGATCAATGTGACACATTTCAAGACCCTACTGTACCACTTGGATTGATATCTACAGGGGAATTCACATTGTTTGAGCTATAGTATATGTTTTCATGATATATCAACATGATACATCAATTTTCAGTATTAGTCGAACGTCCGATTCAAATACATACGTGACATGATGAAATGTTGACCAATGCTGGACCAATTTTCAATGTTTTATCGGATTCTTCCAGTATGTTCATGTTCTCATGCACCAACGGCCACTCGATTCTCAAGCAGCCCAGTCTGTGGATCAAGAATTTTGACCAACTTCTTGAGTCAATCCTGACCATGAACAATATTGTGTGATCCCATTTGCCCCAAGTCATGCCTTTCCATGCAATTCTTCTGAATTCTCAATTTGTCGGTTTATTCGGGTTACTATATCCCAGTCTATTGTCGCCACTTTTTGTGCATTCCAAGGTCGCACAAATCCAAGATTGAGGGATCATTATCCATCATTTTCAAGCAGACCCAACTGCATATCAAGTTATATAGTTAGCAAAACTTATCCCATGAAATATCCCATTAAAGCCCAATTTGGACCAGTCAAATCCCAATTGTTGACTGGTTTATGGTTGATTCCTAATCTTCCACCATTATTTCATGGTTAGATTATTTTTCACGCCTATCCCGATTTTTTGCATGGTAAAATCCCACTTGTTCACCATTATTTAATGATATTTCATGCTGAACCTAATATTCCACCGTAGACGAGTTAATCATTATTATGTTCCATCATGATTTCATCATTAGACCCTAATTTGCATCATTATTTCATTGTTAATTTTCTGATTATTCCACCATGTTTTCACTTCACCATTGAAAACAGGCTAGTTATAGCTTTAAAATCCATTGGTCAATCGTGATTGCCACCCTTAACCTTGCCGTTTGGGGGATAGTTATAGACAAACCCATTTATGTATGAGTCAAAACCCTGGTACCTAGCGAACCCCAAAATAGCTGGTAAATGGATGTTCATCCCACTAAAAATGTATCTACAGGTATTGACCCATACCCATTTTTTCCCCACAAGGAAAACTTACCGCCAAGGCTCGTGAAGCTGACGGACGTTGACACCAGCTACTTCCGCCGCGTCTCGTGGCGTCGCGTTTTAGATCCGATCTGGGGCCGTGTAATACGGTGGGTCTAAGAGTGATTTAATAGTAGTAGGATTTAATAGGAATTCATGGTGATTTTATAGGATACGGATTCAATGGTGATTTCATGGGAATTAGTGGTGTTTTAATGGGAATTGAATGGTTATGTTAAGGATTTAATGGTGATTTTATAGGATTGAATAGGACATGTTGATTGGATTTCATGGCTTACATGGAGGACTTAACAATGGATACTATGGTTAATCCGCGATCAGTGGGATTTAATGAGATACAATCGCGGGATGGATGATAGTAACCTCATGTCATGAATTCCGTCACTGGAATGATGGGAATGGGATTCGGGAATCATCATGGCCTCGACTCATTTCAGCTATTTTCAGGTCAGTGAGATATTGTAATTGAGCCAGAAAAAAACAAAACATATATTTTAACTATCATAATATATATATATGTATATATATATATAAGAAAAAAACATAGAGGACTTAGTAATGGCTTGTGTGGTATATATATATATAGATATATATCGTCAATATGTTGAATCGGAGGGTTTTTCACGAGACAGCTGGTGGTATAATATAATGGGATGATTCATGGACAAGCCATGGAAAATGAGCGTAAGTAGATTGATCAAACGAAAAGGTGGGGGATATGATTTAACCATCCTTAGATATGGCTATGGATCAATACCTATTAATACCATTTGTAGGGGGATGAACATCCATTTACCAGCTATTTTGATGTTCACCAGGGGTACAAGGTTTTGACACACTGCCATATAGGTCAACGTTGGTGAGAGGTAGGTTGACAAATCTAGATTTCATCCTGATTTTCCAGTGCTTTTGATTATGATGACCGTACAGCTAGGTAATGCTAGGTATAAGTTTAGCATAGGACAATTATTGGTTCAACCAGCAATTTGTTCGCAATGCGACAGACCGGACAACTATGGGATTGTCACGTCATGTCTGGCCAATTCAACGATGTTTCAAACATATGGCTTTGTCTGCGTTTTTTGGGGAACACAAACAAATGTTGATGGTTTTAAACATGCATTTTCGCTGTTCAGTGGGTCATACAACTATACCATCCCATATGCTCAGTAGATACCATGCTTACCTACCTGTAGGTCAGGTGTGGGGTAAATGCTGGTAAGTATTCCAAGCTTGGAGCATTTAAAGAAGTGCTTTGAGTTCCTGCCGCTAGTCCTCTTCTGTTCCCTCCTCTAGAAGTTGTGCTCTGAGCATGCTGCCAGTGCCAGAAGCCACAGCCCATGTGCCCTTGGATGGAAACTGACAGGAGGTTATTGCGCATTGCAATGCCGAGGTTCTACCCAGAGCTGCTCATTGTGAGTTCTGCTTTCACCAGTTTCAACATCTACCAAGAAATGAGAAGGCTACAACTATATTCTTCTTTCCATGAATCCCAATCCCTGCTGCGTGGCTAAGAAATACCCACGATAAGCCGATAAGCCGATAAGTGATGCCTTGTGCCTCGGATCCCAATGTGGGCTGAAAAACATGTCTTTAAAAAAAGGTCCATGTTTTAAAGCCTACATCCGCATGTTTGCAGATCGACATGACCATTGTCTTGGTGCTAGATTTTGCCAACCACTAGATTTTCCCCACGACTAAACACTTGGATGACAAATTAGCGCCCCCATTTGAAGAGCCCTGACTGACATCCCATGACAACCCAGTATTCGTAGCATTTCTATCCCCTTCATATCCCCTTTATTCATCTTTATTCCATTATGTCCCACAAGCACTATGAACCCATTATTATCCCATTAATTTATATTAATATATATATATATAATATATATATAGCCACTAATTTCCCATTAATTGATATTAATTAACCATTCTTATCCCACGATTTGTGGCTTGACATCCCGTTCTCTCCCAGATCTTCCATGGATGGAACCATTTCCCGCCGGAGAGGGGGGGGTGTCCAGTGGTGCCGCGCCAATGCAAAAGGGTTTAGGATATCCGTCATGACGAGGGCTCTTTTTTATTACCCTCTGGTAAATTAACATAGACCCTGAAAATAACCAATTTTTAGAGGAAACTAATCTTCCAACCCCTATTTGGCAGGGTCTATGTTGATTTACTGGAGAGTAAATCTTGGAATGACCATACCCCACTATCTATCTACAATAAAAAATATACACATATTAATATAATATATATATATACCATGCAATTTGACCATGGTACATATTTTTGTATGTCCCATCAGTGTGTTGAATCCAAGTGGTGGATCCAAAGTAGATACAGCTCGCTGCCGATATCTGGCATCTTTCTGTGGTGATTTCATGGGAACCATAGGAAAACCATGGCTACATGCCTTTCATCAGAAAGTTATTGGAAGATTTCAGCTGTGGTTTATGTGAATATCAGCCTTTGGTTCATGAAATATGTGGTCCACGAGTTGTTTTCCGAAGGGAGTCTGCAGGTTGAGTTGACGGAAACTGTCCAAGAAACCTCAATGTACACCTCCATGGCAGTGGTTGGAGAGCAAATCCAGCAACCCTCTTTGCTACAGATGTTGATCAAGCCAGTGATTTAATCTATCGCAGTTTGTACCATTGTTTGGTTGGTTGAACCACCTTTATCGATCTCTTTCCTCATAGTTCTCCATAGTGATGTATCACCCCAAGTGGTTTGAGTCTGGCTGATTAACGAACTCGCATTTGAGACAAACAGATGCTTAGTCAAAGAGAAGCCAATTGAGAAGCACATATTTGCAGTGGGGCTTGTACGAGCGAGAAGTTCTTAATTAAGTGCGAGTGCATTTGTCCGCGATTCTTGGTTTTGCATACTTTTGCAATTTTGCACTTGATGTTTGCCAAGGGCCCAAGGGCGGGAAATAGATCGATTGCTTTTCCTGAGACATGGTAGGGAGAATGCCCAATGAATTATTGCCTGAATCCTCAATGATTTTGCAAATCCTCAAAACATGCCTTTCGGATATTGCTTCGCCACTGGCCTTGGCTGCTCCGGCACTCCCGTTGCAGCACTCGGCACTTACGTGTTGCAACTTACGTGCTGCAACTTATGCCAATGATTACTAATGCATTTTTCATGGAAATTGTGAAGTGAGACGAATGTCGATGTTTTTCTTGTTTAATTCATATAGATTCATTGGAATCTGAGTTGAGATATGTGCTGCAAATTGAGTGCCCCAGATAAACTTTTCACGGACCTTGTCGCTAATGCTTCCCCAAAACCTGGAGCGAAATTGCGTGCTGTCAACGGTAAGTTGCGCGCTGCGCGCTGTCAATTAGCCATTTGTGGGTTGATTCATTGTTATTGTGGGGTGATGAGTTTTTGCTGCAGTGAGGCTTAGCTACATCAATTATGAACGCTCAATGGAATGATGTTTACTGTACTTTTCAGATCTTTTAAAAGACTATAGCTATTTGATGGTTTGAAACATTTTTTATTTTCCATTTTTCCATATATTGGGAATAATAATCCCAACTGACGAAGTCATATGTTTAACAGAGGGGTAGGGCTCAACCACCAACCAGCTATATATACCCTCTGGTAAACTAACAGTTTGCTATTGAACATGACCCATAGAAATATTTGATTTACCCATTAATAACCATCATTAACTATCATAACCATCATTAACCACCATTATGTAGCGACCATCACTAAACCAGAGGGCTAGGTCAACAACCAATTAGTGATTGGTCACGCTTCAGCAAGTTCCCATCCAAGCAATGGCCAGGAGAACGACGTGTGGTATGCCACGCATCCTCCAACTCCGTCCCTTGGTTGAAGAAATACATTTTCGGGGGAAGAACATGGAGGTTTTCATGGGAAAATTATGGGAACGTCATGTGAAAATCGAGTTTTTTTTCGTGTGGCGTTTCATATGTTTAATGGAAGAAGATGGGAACATCGAAGTCACTGGACGTTTGTAGTTTGATTGTTTTTCGAGCTAAATACGGGATTGTCCATTGCCATGTTAGAGGACACCAGAGGGTAGTAAATAGGATCACTGGAATGATGCGACTATATTATATATATATAATTAATTACTATTCATGCAGTTCACCAATGATAATGTTGTGGGTAGTATACTATGTCATGTTTTTTTCCTGGATACCAATTATTCATGAAGTTCACTGGAATCAGTTGTAGGTTAGATGCAGTTGGGGCGTATCACTGGATCCATAGAACTGGAAATCTTTGAGGAAATCCGTTCTGTGGTGCCCCCAGTTCTATGATCCTTTATAACCCGCTTTAGCTAAACATATCTACCAGAAACATCCAGACACCCTATCGTTATGTTAGTTATAGAGTTATTGAACCACTTAGCAAACTATGGGGCACCACTTTCTTTAGCAAATTTCCATGATATCCCATGATATGTCCATTGTATGAATGTTCATTCTATTCCCATTGCTGGCAACCCCCAATGAAATCGCATTTTGGACGGTCAACTTCAAGTTTGTGTGTTTCAAGTTGACCATGTATTCCTCGCAAAATCATTCTGAATTTCCCATCAATGCCCGCAAAATAAACCAGAAAATCACCATTAGAATCCCGATCACATCCTCATGTTATTCATTGTGCATGGTGAAATCACCATTTCTCACCATTGTTTGATCGATTTTTGAGAGTTAATTCCCAATCAAATCCCTGTGAAATCCCAGTCAAATCCCTATGAAGCCCCAATCAAATCCCTATGAAATCCCAATCACATCCCCTAAAGTTTTAATCAAATCCATATGATTTCCCATCCAACCCTTATTTTCGTTCCCGGCTCAAAACATCCTCCTACCGAGGAAACCGCATGGAGGCCCGGCCAAGGTCGATTTCAGCCATCGCAAGAACGCCAACGGCAACGATCCCTGGGATGCCTGGCGATTTCATGGAGGTTTCATGGATTTTATGGTGATTTTATGGCATTGTTCTGTTTAAACATGTGACTGACTAATTGTTCATGGTTTATTCATGTGTTTTCTTTATGGTGACCTCATGGAGGTTTCATGGATTTTTTTGATGCTATTGATGATTTTTGATCGTGATTTGAAGGTGAACTTTGCCAGTGGGGAAGTTTGCTGGTTCTAGTTGTTTTCCTTACAGTTCTGCACCGTGGGAGTATAGCTCGATGATTTCGCCACCATCAACTGGGGAGACGGTCAATATGATTGGCTGCAGTTGGTGAGTCTCTGGTAATTTAACAATTGCTGTGGAAAAAAAAGCTTAAATTTATAGATGACTTACCACTTAGACTTAAACAGTGTGATTTTCATTGATTTTCCATAACTATGTTAAATTGCAAGGGGATAAAAACACATTAAACTGATCATTCAATCACCATGGGACCATCATTTCTGCAGATGGTTCTGCAGCTGATCCCTTAGCCAAGTGATCGCTGCTTGGAGCCATCAGATTCGATCTTATTTCAATGATCATTTTGAATGTTTGGTGGTGACTGGAACCATGGAATTTTATATAATTTTATGACATTTCTATATTAATTGGGAACAAATGGGAATAATACTCCCAAGTGACGAACTCATTCTTTTCAGAGGGGTAGGTATACCACCAACGAGATGTGCACTGTTCAATTTAGGTGCCATAATACTACAAGTGGTGATTTCTCTTGAGGCGAAGTGGTCACAGGGCTGACCATTAAAGATGGCAACCACTTTGATGGCGGCAGGGCATTGATTCCTATCCAGAAGGCTTTTTGTTTTACTCCGATTCCAGTCAACAAATCTAGTCAATAGATATATATATATATATATACATGAGGATTAGGATGATACATACCAGGCATCCTTCTTTTTATTTCAACCTACCAGACAAGACCAGTACCAGTACCAGCCTTCATCCAGCAGTCCAATCCTGGCGGTAAAGAAACCATCTGTTCCTGCTGGATTGGCTTACCCAACCTGGTTATGACTAACAGTTCGCCATGGTTAAGCCATGGCCCTAATCGAAATAGATGGTTTACCGAACTTGAAAATGGGTGGATCTTTCCATGGCGATGTTAAATAACCAGATGGTAAGGGAATATCTTGACCGGAAACCATAGATTTTCCCGTGAAATATAATCGGAGGGTTCCAATGATTTTTTTTTCAACCAATCCATTGATCTGTACGATGGGCCGGTGGATGATATACCCTTTTTTGTGTGGATCCTCATTGTAGGATGAATGACCATGAACCATATTGCTGGTTAAGTACCCATCATATTTCCATTATCACATATATATATATATACATATTATGCGTAATATATAATATATATATATATATAATATATATATATATATATTATGGGTATTATATATGATGGGTATTATATATATATATATATACAGTCCATCCTTGTTGATTCAATACCACATTCATCCCCTACAACTTGACCATGACAGATGTGTTGCAGACGCTGCCACCTGATGTGGCTAAAAATGACTAATATAACAGAATGTATACAGAATATAGCTCTACATAGGACATAGATTAATATTGTTTAACATAGCTTAATCATAGTTCAACATAGTTTTGCACTGCAAAATAATTTGTTTTGTCAATTACGTTGGAAGATACCACACAACTGTAATCGGATATCACTGATGTGAGTAAAACGCCCGCGTTGCGGGCACGGCCAAGGACCGTTCCTGCTATCCTGAAACTTGGCGATTTGCTGACGACTCCACCAGTTGATGGTTAGTAGCGGTAACTATAAGATAGCCTGATTTTATGGCTTTTATGGTGGTAAATCATGATGTTTTATATGGTGTTATCATGTTTCAAGACGTGTTTTCTTGATTTATGATGGTAAAAGCAGGTAACAACAACATTCAGTCGTGTTCTATCCTTCTCCTGTGATGATCCTTGATCCTCACAGTGCGAATGCGTTGTGGTTTAATGATCCCAAGGACCTATGCTGGAGGTTTCGAAATGTTTGCGAAATGGGACAGGCGAACAAGGCTCAACCTAAAAGGTGACGTTTCTAGATGCAAAAGACAATCCTGTATTTGTTGGTTGTGTCTTTTTTTTCCACAAGTTCAATTTACCAAGTTCTATCTTCCTGGGGTTTGATCTGCATATATTCTCAGGAATCCTATTATAGACTCCATTGAATCCCCATTCTGAACGGTTGGTTAAACAACAATTTATCATGATTGTGTGCCATTACTTCCCTATAAAATGTTATTAGAATCCCACCATGTTTGCCATTTCGGTTGCTTCAATCTCATTCAATCCCAATCAAATCCCATCAATTCCCCATGTGTTGCAAGTTGTATAATCCTCCATTTCCACTGTGGTTACCATATAGTTGATGTCTCCATTGTACCCATTGGAATCCGCGTTGTTGCCGTTTATATAAATCATTAAATCCCATTGAAGCCCCATTGAAGCCCCATTGAACCCCCAATTGAAGCCCTCATTTCCCGTAAAATCCGATTAAATCCCAACGAAGTCCCGTTAAATCTCATGAAATCCCAATCAAGTCCCGTAGAATCCTAGGAAATCCCAATGAAGTCCCGCAAAAAATCTTAAAATCCTACCAAAATCATGATATAAATTCCATTAAAAAAACATCACGTAAGTTGATGCGTCAAGCTCCATTTCCATCCCATGATCCGATTGTCGGTTCCTAAGATCCCAAGATCCCAAGCCCCAAATCACCCAGGAAAATCCCCCTGAACGTCCCTAGGACAACTGCGGCCCTGGAGGTGGGCCCTGGCCCAAGCGTGACCCCTACGCACCCAAAGGACGGGGAGGAATTGCCCAAGGAAAAGCACCAGAAAATGAGGAGTTCGCCACACTTTTCTGGTTGGTGGTTTGGAACCCATGTTTTATGACTTTCCATATATTGGGAAGAATAATCCCAACTGACGAACTCATATTTTTCAGAGGGGTAGGTATACCACCAAGCAGTTTTGTGGCAATTACCCAAGCATTTTTTGGGATTGCACATCATGAAAAACCAGCAGGAATTGGATATTCATGGGAATTGAAAGCAACAACTGATTGGTGGGTTCAAACATTTTTTGTCTTCAATCAGACAAAAGGGATGATTGGTTGATCTGACGAATAGTTTTGGGATGGCTTAAAACCACCAAATATTATATACTTATTATTATCTATATATACATAGTTCGGTATGAATTGTTTTACTTTTATAGTTCTAGTCGTAGCTATAGTCATAGTTACACACCTACGCTTAGTGGTGTATCAATGGGATATGATGAAATTAATGGATATTACTGAGATATAGTCAGATATAGTGGTGCTTAGTTCAAAATAATCGGAATGATGGGAGCGCGCATAGGTGTCAAGCTATGGCAGAGTTTACAGGCAAAAAGGGGAAGCATGGAAAAAATGGGATATTCAGCAACCATGATGGGGATAGAATGGGGAAATGGTGGGCGGCACCCCGCTGATTGCGAGCCAAACTTTGCGCGCCAGTTCAGCTCTGTGTTTTACATAGGAAAAAGAAAGGTACAGATTTTGAATAAATCGACGTCTCTTTTATTGGTTTCATTGCGGTGTCTCTTTCATTCGTCACCCAGTGCCTGCAATTTGGGAACAGAACAATGCTAGTTGTTTAATGTGTTTTCTATTTGTCAGAAAGCTCTTACCTGTTGTCATTTGGCTGTCTGATAAACATGCTTCGGAAGGCACTTGTAGCATTGCTACCCCACCTTCCAACCCTTCCTCTCCTTCCCCGGACTGATCCCCTGCAGCAGCATCATGCACAAACAAAGTTGCATCAACTGGGATATGCGGCGAAGAAAATGAAAGTTTGTTTTTTTTGCCCTCCATGACTTAACATGGAACAGAAATAAATTTTGGACTATGGCAGCCTTCTCGGGTTTATTACAAATTCAGGAAGTGTACTGCAAGTGCCAACGGCTTGGTGAATGGTAGGTTGCTGGCTTATTTCTTTACCATCTATGAATGACTTAAGACTAACCAGACACATTTTTCAGACCTCTTGGGTATTTGAAGTTAGCATCGAGGCACACTGGATCTGAGCTGCTCTGAAACCTGTTCCATACATTGTGCAAACTGACTTGTGAAGGATAGTCTAGTATAGTTTGTTATTAATATGTGTAACACTCTATTTTGTTCGTCATAATTCGGAGTCAGTTCGCATTTGAATCTGGACAGCAGACGTTGACAAGCATTGACTGATGGAAGAAGCTGTTCGCCGGGGAAAATCACCCAGCTAGTGCCAGTGCTGGGTAATTTTTCCTGCTTGCGCCATGTTTGGAGACACCAGGGTAACTCATTGATTTGTTTGGGATCCCAGTTGGATCCCATGAAACCACTTATTTCATGGTTTTTCCGAAAGGTCAAATTCAAGTGGACCATCTGAATCACCTCGGTTGCCTCTCAAGAACGCTAGAACAGCTCCACCACAGGCTTTGTTTGGGGGCAACCTCGCCAAATGGCTTTCCAACTACAAAAAAGATGGTGAAGTCATCATTTTGCTGGTTAAAGCCACGTGAAAACATCGGGTGGGGTCCATCATTCCATCATTCCATCATTCCATCATTCGCACCTAGATGCCAGGAGTGTATGATCAATTTCAACTCTACTGTCCTATTCCATACTTTTTCACGGACAAGATCGATGATGCTCGCAAGGTGCGAAGCATGCGTGCAGCCTGAGAGGGCTTGAGTGCTGGGATTTTACTTAAGCAGCTAGTGAATGGGATTGTATGAGGAATTTGTATGTGACCACACTAGCCGAGGTTATCTTAAATGATGCTTCGACTGGGAAATCATCCCAACAACGTGGTTTATCTTAAGTTTGGAATTGTATTAATTTAACCAGACATGATAATATTATATAATTATATATTATATTTATAGATGAAGTATATACAGCTCAAAATGTAGGGCCCTGATCTATACCCTGGACCCACGGGCGATCCATTGATCCATACGATCAGTAGCCATGATTCATACACCTCTGAGGGATATGATCCATACCCTTGAACCATACCCAACAGTGACAAGTTGTTCTTATACTGCTTGGTGGTTTGGAACATAATTTTTATATAATTTTATGACTTTCCATAATTATTGGGAAGAATCATCCCAACTGACTCATATTTTTCGGAGGGGTAGTATACCACCAACCAGTACATCAAGCCACTTCGGTATACCTTCTCATCAGGTCCGGATCAAAACTCTTGGACGCATCTGACTCTTTCGGTACGTCCGGTTTTTTCCGCGGAACGACCCAGACCCGTTTTCTGAAATACCCCAAAAAAATGTGCCCATGCACACATACACACATACGTGTATGTATATATATCGGAGCGCCCAAACCATGTTGCGCGGTTGTGCGGTTTTCTTCAGAATATTTAAGTCTCTGACCATGGGGGTGTCTGAAAATTGGGCTTACCCCCCAAACGGCAAATTTAATGACAAACTATCATCATCCACTGGATGGAGTGGAGCACCTTATTTTCATCTAGACGCCTCGTGAAACCTTGTTACTTCCGTTTTTGGTTTTGAGTTGGATGTGTCGTTCATGTTGGGCTGTTGCCTCTGCCCTCCAAACCCCTGAGACCATGGTGAAGATGTCCCCGATTTTTTCCATCCTGTACTCTCCAGTAGATAAGCACAAATATGCAAACATCAGTCTACCTTGGCTTAGATCGTTCTCCTAGGGAAACCATTGTTTTACATGTTTATATATATACATATAAATATGCAACATGTATGTATTTTTCATCATGTTTTCCCATGTGATAATAATTATCAGAGATTACACACGCACAGTGCTGTACCAGATATTCCATTGCAGTAGTATCGGTATCACTGGAGCCGTGGATTCCTTCATAGGTTCATCGGTTGAAAAAAATGCGCCTTGAATTGAAGGTTCATGGATTGTACACATGTGTGCACATGTATGCACATACTAGCCAAACAAACAACATATGCATAATGCATAAATGTACATATGCATGATGCATAAATGTACATATGCATAATGCATAAATGTACATATACATTGATATAGATACAGTAGATTAGATAGATAGATGGATAGATCGATAGGTAGGTAGGTAGATAGATTGGTTGATAGGTTGATGGATTGATAGATAGATAGATTCATAGACAGATAAATCAGATATATAGATAGAATTGTTTAGATTAGATTAGATAGATAGATAGATAGCTAGATAGGTAGATAGATATATTATATATGATATATTGATTGATTGATAGATTCATAGATTGATAGATATATTGATTTCTTAGATATTTATATATATATATAGATTGATTGATTGATGGGTTGATAGATGGGTTGATAGATAGATAGATAGATTGATAGATGGATTGATAGATAGATCGATAGATTGATAGATAAATTGATAGATAGATATATTGATTAATTGATGGACTGATTGATTGGTAGATTGATAGATTTATCGATAGGGTTGATAGATTGGTCGATAGATTGATAGATATATTGATAGATAGATCATAGTTAGATTGATGGATTGATTGATTGATAAATTGATAGATAGATTGATAGATCGATTGATAGATAGGTTGATAGATTGATAGATAGATTGATAGATAGATTGATAGGTAGATTGGTAGATAGATTGATTTGATTTATTGATAGATAGATAGATAGAATGATTGATTGATTGATAGATTGATACATTGATTGATAGATTGATCGATAGATTGATAGATAGATTGATAGATTGATCGGTAGATTGATATATAGATTGATAGATAGATTGATAGATAGATTGATAGGTAGATTGGTAGATAGATTGATTTGATTTATTGATTGATAGATTGATAGAGAGATTGATAGATAGATTGATAGATTGATAGATAGATTGATAGATAGATTGATAGGTAGATTGGTAGATAGATTGATTTGATTTATTGATTGATAGATAGATAGATAGATTGATAGATAGATTGATAGATTGATAGATAGATTGATAGATAGATTGATAGGTAGATTGATAGGTAGATTGGTAGATTGATTTGATTGATAGATAGATTGATTGATAGATTGATACATTGATTGATAGATTTATCGATAGATTGATCGATAGATTGATAGATTGATGGATTGATCGATAGATTGATAGATAGATTGTTAGATAGATTGATTTGATTGATAGATAGATAGATAGATTGATTGATTGATAGATTGATACATTGATTGATAGATTGATTGATTGGATAGATAGGTGGGCATATAGATAGGTCGATAGGATTCGATAGGTAGCTAGGGTGTGCTTGGTTCACATCGCTCCAGGAAGTCTTCCGACACGCGGTTCCTTGTTGCACCTGGTGATCCTCAGAATCCTCGGGATTCAACAGGGATTCAAACCCCATATCGGGCAAGCGAGTTGTAGGTCTGAGAATCAACATATCTGGCATAAAATGTGGGTGTATTATATCATGAACATGTTTTTATATGTTTTTATCATTGTTAAGTATAGGGTTACCTGTAATGTGCTTTAAGTTGCTTTAAGGGGATTTTGTGCGAATAAGGGGACTTAACAACAAAAATGTTAAGTATGGGATGTACTTGGATTTAAGTTGCTTTAAGGGGATTTTGTGCGAATAAGGGGACTTAACAACAAAAAAACGTTTATCAGGGGTGCTCCGACCTGTTTTAGGTTAATTATATTCGCAAAGGGAATTGATCATTTTATCTCTGTGCTTGAAGTGCGTCTTATGGAGGTACAATTAATGGTACACATTGAACACAGTATCATGGGTACCACACGCATATAATTACTGGATAGAATTAAGAGGAATATAATGGAATATAATAAGTTGGGATGTGAAGGGTATCATGGGGATACAATTTTCATCAATTTTCATATGTTTCATGGCGATACCCTCCGGATCCCTCCAGCGTGGTTTGCTGGAAGATCAACCTATTTTTATAATTGATTTTCCCATAAAAACTCTCCATTTATAGTGGTTTTCCAATTACCATGTTGGATTACCGAAAGGTAAGTAACCAAACAATTTCCGAATCCCGTTGGAATCGCATTAAATCCCCTTACAGTCCATTAAAATCCCATTAGATTTGCTTAGAATCACAGTAAACCATCATTTTTTATGGTTAGACTATGTCAAACCACCATTTTCCCAGCCATGTTTCATGGCCAAAAAATTGGTAGAAAAGGTCTCCATTTTTTTTGCGGGTCAAAGTTGTAAACCCATTGGGTTTCCCAGATGTGCTTTTTGGGTTCTTCTGGTGATTTGTATGACCAAGAAAAAATCGGATTTGACGAGGAACAATGGTGGTTTAACCAACTGAAATGGCAGCTTCAGCAATGGAAATGGTGGTTTAACATGGTTTAATCAACCAAATGGTAGTAATGTTGGTTCCTGATTAGTGTGTGGCCCCCCCCAAACTATATCTGGACTCTCTTTAAAGTAGAAAGTCAAAAATTTTCTTCCCAAAAGAAAAACATATCCTCAATTAAGTAAGGATTTCAATTGGCTACAATTGAAATCTAATTACTATTGCTTTTTTTTGCCGATGAAGTTGTGGTATTTGTAGTACTTGTAGTACTTGTAGTACTTGTAGTACTTGTAGTACATGTAGTACTTGTAGTACTTGTAGTACTTGTAGTACTTGTAGTACTTGTAATACATGTAGTACTTGTAGTACTTGTAGTACTTGTAATACTTGTAGTACTTGTAGTACTTGCTCATACCCAGCACATGCTCAGCTCATGCTCAGCCCATGTTTAGCTTATACTCAGCTAAATCTCAAGAGACACTGAACCAGCTCATGCCCAGCTTGCTGCAATAGTGAACCCAGCAAACAAACCTACTAAAGTGAAATGGAGCCTCTCCTGGCCCAGGGCCTTGGAAAATTGTGGAAAAGCTGTTCTTTAATAAGGGTTTAATAAGGGATTGGTTCTTTTGGGAAAGGCTTGGAGTTTGAATTTGGCAATTTTGGAAATGGCTTGCTTCCCTTCTGGGCTTCCAGGGGCTGCTCTGGCACAGCTTGCTGCAATAGTGAACCCAGCAAACAAACCTACTAAAGTGAAATGGGGCCTCTCCTGGTCCAGGGCCTTGGAAAATTGTGGAAAAGCTGTTCTTTAATAAGGGTTTAATAAGGGATTGGCTCCTTTGGGAAAGGCTTGGAGTTTGAATTTGGCAATTGCCTTTGGAAAAGGCTTGCTTCCCTTCTGGGCTTCCAGGGGCTGCTCTGGCACAGCTTGCTGCAATAGTGAACCCAGCAAACAAACCTACTAAAGTGAAATGGAGCCTCTCCTGGTCCAGGGCCTTGGAAAATTGTGGAAAAGCTGTTCTTTAATAAGGGTTTAATAAGGGATTGGTTCTTTTGGGAAAGGCTTGGAGTTTGAATTTGGCAATTTTGGAAATGGCTTGCTTTCCTTCTGGGCTTCCAGGGGCTGCTCTGGCACAGCTTGCTGCAATAGTGAACCCAGCAAACAAACCTATTCAGATAGAGATGCATTTACAGGCTCAGATAGGGAGATGAACAAAAACTTGACTGAGCTACAGCGTTTTTGAGAAAAAAAATGCCTCTCAGCAATTACAGTTGTTTTTTTTCAAAAAATAGGGCTCTCCCAATTTTGTTTTGCCACAAAAGCGAACCCTCCAAACAATACATGAGTTTCAGAATAATTTGGAAAATTTTGCCACAATAGCGACCCTAGCTACTAATCAGGAGCCAACATTATAACTGGTTGGTGGTTTGGAACATTTTTTATTTTCTATAATATATGGGATAATCCTTCCCATTGACTAATATTTTTCAAGATGGTTAAAACCACCAACCAGATAATGATGATATTTTGGGATACAATGGATATTATATTGGATCGTGTCGCTGTTGCGACAGCCTGCGACGTCTCTGGATGTGAATTTACTATTGGGAAGTTGTACTGTCACATATATTTATAGTGAAGTTGCTACTATAGTTAATATAACGGATATATCACTATGGGGTTATATAGTTATAGTACACTAGAAGTGATCATATCCCAATATAGTTATTATGGTTTTATAGCGGGATCATGTTGAAAAAATATGTTTTCCGGATGGGGACGAGAACAACTCCGAGCAATTTATTGGGATTTCAGATGGGTATATCAGGAAACACGGGGGGCATATCAATAGCTAAAGGATGGAACCATAGGCAAACACTGGGATAGAAAATGCTATAGTGTATGAACAAATGAATTAAGATCTAAAATCATATAGAATCATATAAAATGATCAGTGATTTCCCTGGTTTTTCTATGGAAATCCTGGAAATCCCAAACTGCCCATGGGTAACTTGCCCTGGCAGGTGCGGACTTGGCATGAACTGACCTGCGTGGTGTTGATCGAATATGAGGAGGCTGAAATTACCGATTCCCTGGGTCCCTACATCGAGGCAGACCTCTGGGCCATTGGGGAAATGGATCGTAAACTTGACTGGAGTTTTTTTTGGGGGGTGCCCCATGTTCAGGGAGCCATGAGGGCATTCACATCTGTAGCTCGAGCAGACAGCTGAATGATGTATGAAGACGATGAAGATGATGACGATGATGATCTACCCTCTGGTAGACGTTTACAAAACTGATGGGGAAATCACCATTATTCATGGGAAAACTCACTATTTCTATGGCCATTTTCAAAAGCAAACTGTTTGTTTTCCAGAGGTTAGGGCGTTGAATCAACATGTTGAGGGTGGAATAACTGCACCAACAAAAATCTCGGCAGGTGTTTTGAAATTGCAGTTGTTTGAATATTCATATTCCATATTCCCCCAAATCGGGTAATGATTCCCATTTGTGAAATTGGCCCAAACCACCCACCAGATTGGTTGTTTCAAGAAACATCCAGATTTTGACATGTGCTGAAGAAAAACACAGTTCGAACATGGCGAATGAAAAGCTGTGATTCCCATCTCCATATTGGTTCAAGCCTTTTGTGGGTCCAGACACATACCCAGATTACCCGATGACTTGACGGATGCCTTGGCTCCCATCAAGAATGTATGTATAATATATGTATAATATGTATAATATATGTATAATATATGTATAATATGTATAATATTATAAAATAATATATATATATATATTTATAATGTATGTTGGTCTATTGTTGGTCAGCTATCTGTATGGTTGTCCAATGTTTGTTTTCCTACGTATTCTATTCCATTGTTTGTCCCTCTATATCTCTTTTCTGCGTCCCCCAATGACTGGACCATACCCACATGAGCACCATGACAATGAATCTCCATGAAAACAAACCATTTCACAGTGGAGAATTCAAATACTATTTAGAGATATTTAGAGGATTCCAATGCTATTTTCCAGATTATATGATACAGTATAAATGGTTGATGTTCCAGGTTTTGTTCCTTTGCTCATGCTGGTTTGTCTGAGAAAAAATGAGGAAAATCATGTTCCCTTTCTGGATGCTGAACCCCCGATGTGTTGGACAAACCCAAAGCAGGTTGTTTTTATCTAGTCGTATCCCATGATATTACTGCAGAAATATATCACCATAATGTACAGCCAGGTGAGCCCAATGCATTCCTGTGCAACTCTGTATATGTTGGCTCAAGGGGAAAAGGCGCTCCGTAGCGCTCAGGTTTGTAAGTAAATAGTTTAGCATGGTAGCGAGAGAGGTTCGAGACAGGGATTCGAGTGATACAACCGAGACTCCAGATTTCCGAGGAGGAGAGGAGCCTGTGGCTCCTGGGCCCATTGTAGGGCCGACGGCCGACAGAGCCCGAAGAAGCTCCGGAAGGAGGAGCAGAGGCCACAGAAGCGGCAGAGCCCGAAGAAGCGGGCGACGGGTCGGAAGAGCCGGAGGAAGCTCCTGGAGGAGGAGCCAGTAGACCGGAGAGAGTCTACGAACTTGGGATTGCGCCAAGGAGAGGTCCATTCCCAAAGGCAACCACCGCAAGTCCGCAAGTGGGCTGGTGCATACCTATACTCGACGGTGGCACGGATCGACAAGGCCGAAGAAGAGGAAAGAAAAAGAATCTATAGAGAGAAAGGCGAGGAAAGAGCCAAAGGAAAAGGAGCCAAAGGAGATAAAGGAACCGAAGTGAAGGGGCAAGCTGAGGAGTGGCTTGCGGAGAACCCCAATCGCCGCTGGAGGAGCGCAGAAGCACTCCAGAGAAAGAAAGACAAGAGAGCCAAGGGCAAAGGAACCGGAAAGAAAGGAGAAGGGAAGCCCGTAGTGCCGTAGTTGAATACGGTGAGAACGTTCCAGAACATCTCCAACACATCGTGGACGCATTTGGTCCAGGAGGAGCCTCTAGCGGATCAGGAGCAACACCAACGGTCGATTTAAGACCGAGCGACCATCCTTCAACAGAGACAGCGCCAGAGGCCGCGACCAGGGAACGGTCTAGGAGCCGAGACGATCCACCGAGATCGGAAGGAAAAGGGTCCGCAACACCAAAGGCGGTGGCCGGACGTGCTAGGAGGATCACAGTCCATCCCAGTACTACAAGATTAGCTGATGCTCGTGTTGCGTGTGGTGCGACTGGATCGGAAGCAGCCCTGTAGGATCCAACTATCGACAGCGAAGTGCTGCAGCTCAAGAAGCCGTTGCACACAGGCACGTGCACGGGGCACTGTCGCGACTGCAATTGCTGCAAGGGTTTACCAAGCCGACGGGATCAACGAGGCTTTCTCATCTTGTGACGAACGCAAGACACGCCAGCGATCAGCAGTACATCGATTTGCATCCTCAGTTGTAGCAAAATCTCAAGCAAAAGCAAGAGCACGGAGAAGAGTCCCGGTGGCATTGAGACATCGACGACAAAAAGACCACCAGGAGCATCTGAACGGTCGCAAGAGACCGAACCAGAGGCAGAAGGACCACCACCTACACATAAAGCACCACAGGTTGCTGCCTACGCCGGTTCTCCAAGCCCGGGGGAACTTGAGCGGGCGAGGAAACAGGACGAAGAACGTCATCAGCGCAGGCAAGCAGAGGCCGCAGGACCACCAGCCAAGGCTGGAGAGAGGATCTACCATATCGGCCGGAACCTGACGCTAGTGAATCCAACTCCAGATCAGTTGGAACAAGCTCAACGGAAGTTTGAGCAGGAAGAAGCCCTTAGACAAAGGCAGAGGGAGGCCGAAGACAAAGCGGCCCGAGAGGAAAGAAAAGAGAAGAGAACCCTTGAGGAAAAGGCTGAACGGTCAAGGAAGAAGCCGAAGACCGAAGCCGCACCAGAACCAAAAGCGGCTGAGGCGAAGCCAAAGCCGAAGAAAGAACATCCATCAGACAGTGAGTATACGTACACGGACACGTACGTGTGGGAATCTGAAGAAGAAGAAGAAGCGGCGGAGCACGACGCCGTTGTGGACTTCTTCTGATGGATCCTGCAGTGCAAACGGCGCTGCAAGAGCTTCAAGCTCAGGTACAGCAGCTTCAAGCTAAAAACGTTTCACTCAAGACAGGGCAGCAATCCCTGCAACAGGAAAATGAAGCGCTCAGGGCGCAGCAGACCGGGGTTGCAGAGATGGCCAAATCTCTTGGGGACTTGGCTAAATCTTTAGAAAGCAAAAGCGAAAGAAAAGATCGTAGGTTTTTGGTAGATACTAAGGGTTTAGGAAAACCAGAAACCTTCAACAACGATGAACAAAGTTTCCGTAGATGGGCTAGGACGGTTTGTAACCTTACAGTTGGGGTGTTTGGAAAAGAGTTTCAAGATGTTTTGGATTACTGTTTGGACCTTGAGGATGCAGTTGATTTTACAACCCTAGAAACCAAGTTTGGGGATGATTTGCATCCAGATGGAATCCCAAGGTTGGATGACAAGTGTGACCAACTCTACCGAGTGCTTAGCTCGTTGACCACAGGTGAATCCGAAGACCTTGTGGTCAGATGCGCAAACTTGGCAGCTTCGGGATTTGAAGCTTGGCGGCGGTTGAATCGCCGGTGGGACCCGGTCACAGCGGGTCGAAAGAGGAACATTCTTAGGGCAATACTCAATCCAGAACGTACCAAAACATGGGAAGGAGTGGAAGGAGTTAGGCCGGCAGTTGAACAACTTGATGATTTGATCCGGAGGTATGAGGCCCGAAAGAATGAAAGTGGGCAGAGAGAGACCCTCGGAGATGACATCAAATGCACGGCCATAGAACTCCTGGTCCTAGTACCCACAGATTTGGAAAAGCATCTGACTCTCAACAAAAGTAGATTAACATCCTATAGCCTTATCAAACAGGAAATTGAAGTTTTGATGGAAACCATGCTGGGTTTGAAAGGAAAGATCCACAGGCCGGGATCAGCGGCAGCAGCGTCAAGCCAAGGACCAGCGCCCATGGAGGTCGACTCCTTCGCAGCATGGCTGGGTTCATTGGTGAAAGGTAAAGGTAAAGGTAAGGGCAGTAAAGGAAACAAAGGTGGTAAAAATAATGATAAAGACATGACCTGTTATAACTGCGGTATACAGGGACATAAGGCCGCAGACTGTTGGAGCAAGAAGAAAGATGGTTCTAAATGCTCAAAAGATGGAAAAGGTAAGACAGGCTCAAGCAAAGGCTCAAGCGATGGCAAGAAAGGAAAAGGAAAAGGAAAGCCGAAGAAACATGCATCGGCCTTTGATGAGGCCGGAGAGGAAGAAGATGCCGAGTATGAAACGGGTGATGAACCCGAAAATGAAGAGGTTGGCACTTTCGAAATGAATGGCGTCACTATGAATTCGGAACCACATGACTGTGGTGAGTGGACCAAATTCAACCTGGACACGGGCGCCGCACAAACGGCAATTCCAAAGTCCTGGAACACCATCCAATGGACGCCGGGAACCACTGTGACGTTCAAGGCAGCATCAGGTGAATTGGTTCTCAGTGAAGGGACTGGATCTTATGTAGGGTCAGACGAAAATGGACTTCGGTGCAAGATCACCGGACCAATAGCCAATGTGCACAAACCGCTGGTATCAGCCTAGAAGTGTCTGAGCAAAGACCGTCTGGCAGTTCTTGACGAACATGGAGGCCACGTTTTGCCTTTAAACTCAGCAGCGGCAAAGGACATCCAAAGGATCTTGAAGAAGGTCGCAGCCAGCGAAAAGCGCAAATGGCTGAAGTTGTACCAAGAGAGAGGCATCTACAACTTCTACTTGCAAGGAAAGTCACCGGTGGGTGAAAACCCTGAACAGGGTTTTGGCCGGCAGCGGAAGGAAGTGTAAGTCCGACCAGAGAATTAAGAACGGCTGCAGGTGAAGCGGCCGAGGCACCACCTAATCCTCCAGGCCGACCTGGGGATGAAGGTGAGGTTGGTGAGGAAGTTGAGCTGGAAGAGATGGCTCGATCCGTTCGAATAAGAGCACCTACGGATCCAACACCCGAAGGATTGGAGGAACATGAGAGTACAGGCCATGTGCAGTATCGCACGGGGGGTCGGCACTGTGTTGCCGGAAGGGGTGCTGGACAGCAGCATCGGACTCGGGACGAAGAAGCCCGGAGTCAGGACGGAATACCAATGATATCCTGTGACTACACGTTCATGACACTGAACGGTGTGGATGATGGGAAAGCAAAACCCATCTTGGTGATGAAGGACAGCCGAACTACGTCAGTGGCTGCTACCTTCGTGGACGCGAAGGGTCCAACACCGTATGCGGTGAAGTACTTCAGCAACTTCTTGAAAACCCTCGGGTATAAGAGAGTGTTGTTCGGGGAGCGATGGGGAACCATCGATCGTTGTGGGAGCACCGCAGGGTCCCGCAGGGTGCCCAGGGTGTACATGTGTGTTGATGGATGAACCAACTGTGGTTCCACACACAGAGGCTTGCAGAGTTTGGATATGGAACTCATGCAAGGAGATGAGCAGGGCTGTGCAAGGCTCGAGGCTCACGAGAAAAGAAAGAAGAGAAGGCAAGGGACCACGGAGGCAATTGGAGGACCAGACCAGGGTCCTGCTACTGAGGAGGAACAACCAGTGTTCCCAGATAATCCGGAAGAGCGGATTGAACTGAAGAGGTCTGTGGCTGAGCGAGCAACAAGTAGCAGACAAGAGAAGAGTCCCAAGGCATCACAGCCTAGTAAGAGGCCAGGGGCATTGACAATCGGGAGCGGGCCGCCATTGGCTAAGCCAAAACCGAGTCCGACTCAAGGTGAAAAGAGACCAGCTGAAACAGCTGTTGAGACACTCCGTGAAACGGAGGCTGATGGTGGTACTGGTAGACCATCACAGGCGGGCACTTTGCCCGAGGGAGCCCAGATGGAAACTGGAGCTCTGACGAAACAGAAGAAAGTTTTCAAGACACTGATAAAACGTCAGGTCTTGGACGCACCTATGAGTTGAGCCCTAAGTCTCGAAAGTTAATTAGTAATTTTACTCGCCCTGAATTTTACGTAAAATCGACTGTTTTACTAACGTGATTTTACGTAAAATTTTACTAACGTTAGTAAAATTTACTAACGTTAGTAAAATTTTACTAATGTTAGTAAATGATTTTACTAACGTAAGTAAAATTTTTGCATGCTTTCAAAAAATGTGAAAATTGTGATTTTTTTCTATTGTTTTTCTTAGGAATTCTGATATTTTTTGTGATATGTGTGATTGTGGTTTGCGATGATTTGGTTATGAGTGGGGTGTTTCCAGTGGAGGATTTCAATCGATATGTTGTTGTTACTGTAGAGGAAACTGCACTTATGTGTTGAGGAATGACTTTACATGACTTTGTACTGGAGACTTTACTTGCGATTTTATATGAGGAGTTCTTGGTACTTTCTTGGGACTTTACCTGAGAGTTCTTTTGAGATGTTATGTGAAATCATGTACATCTATATCTGTATCTATATATCTATATAAACATATAAACTGGATTTACATAATAATAGGTGAATCCACAAAAGGAATTTACATTGGATCTTGACTTTAAGAAGTCATTGCAAAGCATTTACATTTGAAAAAGAAAGTCTAGATATTTTTTTTGGGTAAATGAGACTAGGTGAAATATCAAAGCAATAATAACCACATCTTATCATTTTTTCCAGGCAAGGAAAGTGAACCAAATTTTATTGGATCAGGTTTGTTTGCTACAAAACTTGATCAACTTACATAAAACAATTGTCCATGGGGACTGAAGACATGTCTTTTTCAAAGCTAAATTTAAAAGGGAGCTCATAGACTCTTGTGGTGCTTTTTTCCTCATACAATTTGGAGAAGGTCTGGATGAAATCCTGGTAAACCTTTGGCTGGCTTGAAAAAATACATCCAAGAAGTCTTAGTGAGACCCTTACTCCACTTTCAATTCCACATGAATATTTTTTCACATGTGTCCAAAGTTTTTTTCAGAAAAATGCTTGAACACGGTCAAGAATGCAATGCACTTCTGATGCTTTTGGTGCACTTTTGATGCACTTTTGGAGCACTTTTGATGCACTTTTAGTGCACTTTTGGTGCACTTTTGATGCACTTTTGATGCACTTTTGATGCACTTTTGATGCACTTTTGATGCACTTTTGATGCACTTTTGGTGCACTTTTGGTGCACTTTTGTTGCACTTTTGATGCACTTTTGATGCACTTTTACCGCCTTTTGATGCACTTTTGATGCACTTTTTAAAAGTGCATCAAAAGTGCGTCAAAAGTGCGTCAAGAATTTATGGCATTTTTCTTGGAAAAAAAAATGGTAAGGTTCTCTCTCAAAAAGAGATTGCATGCATTGAGTTTGAAGTAAAACCATTCAGTGCAGTCTCAAGTAAGGTGCAAAGTGCAATGATAGCAAACTCAGTAAAGTTCACTGACAACAGTCTCAAGTAAAGTTCACTGGCAACAGGCCCGAGTAAAGTTCATTGGATGCAGCCTCAAGTAAAGTTTGTTGGATGCAGCCTCAAGCAAAGTTCATTGGATGCAGTCTCGAGTAAAGTTCACTGACAGCAGTCTCAAGTAAAGTTCACTGACAACAGGCTCAAGTAAAGTGCACTGACAACAGTCTCAAGTAAAGTTCACTGACAGCAGGCTCAAGTAAAGTTCATCGGATGCAGTCTCAAGTAAAGTTCATTGGATGCAGTCTCAAGTAAAGTTCATTGGATGCAGTCTGAAGTAAAGTTCATTGGATGCAGTCTCAAGTAAAGTTCACTTACAGCAGTCTCAAGTAAAGTTCAGTGACAGCAGGCTCAAGTAAAGTTCACTGACAACAGGCTCAAGTAAAGTGCGGTGACAACAGTCTCAAGTCTAGTTCATTGGATGCGGTCTCAAGTAAAGTGCACTGACAGCAGGCTCAAGCAAAGTTCATTGGATGCAGTCTCAAGTAAAGTTCACTTACAGCAGTCTCAAGTAAAGTTTATTGGATGCAGTCTAAAGTAAAGTTCATTGGATGCAGTCTCAAGTAAAGTTCACTTACAGCAGTCTCAAGTAAA